AAAAAAGTTATCTAAAAAAAGTAAATGGAAATTTAATTTGCCTCTTCGAATTTATATGCTGTCTCAATTTCATTTAAAACCTTTAATTTATTTCAATTACATTTCATATCTTTTATTTTTATTCAAATCAGCATCCACGTCTTTGAATTTTGTTTCAATTATATATCTCCATTTATTTTTATCAAATGTATAAATTTCAATTTCATCTTTAAAGTTTACAAAATATTTCAATATCATAAAAAAGTAAGAAAAAAATAAATTATTAAAATTAGAAGAATAAAAATAGAAAAGTGATACATTTGTTTTATTAAAACAAATATGATAAAACTTGAGTGGGTTAATTTCTCTACAAATTTTTAAATTCCACCAACTTTAATTATCCCTTAATAACATTATTATTATTTTTTTATCAATACCATAGTTAAATAAATATCAAGATACTAATTTAACGGCCTCTTTCGATTTTTTTCCTTACCAAAACCTTCACCATTCTAATCACTTCCAACTATCATATCACCTTTCTTTTTTGATATCGTTATCAAATAGCACATGTGATCACATTTGATATGTGAAAATAATTACGATGTATATAATGCCAAAATTATTTTATACTCCAAATATTATTCCATTCATATGAGTTTTTATTTATTATTTTTCTAGAATTTTTGTTTAAGATTTTAATAAAAAAAATGGGATAAAAAGTGCAGATATGATGCATTAGAAGAAGAGTGTATGAGAGGTAAAGACAATAGTGATAAATACTTTTTATTAAAAAAAATTATTATTTTTATTTTTATCTTAATCTTGTTTTTGTATTGTTAAAGGACTGCTGAAAAATTTTGACGAAAACAATTCCTTAGATTTGTTTTATTGAAAAATTATTTTTTTAATGATTTTTTAAAATTTTAATGACTCTTTTGAGTTATATTGAGATACTCCGTAAATTTTGGAGTTGAAGTTGAAATTTACGCATAATGGAACAAAAATAAAAGCTATGTAGTGTAATTGAAACAAATCAAAGGTTTTTTGCGAAATTGAGAAAACATATAAAACTCAAGGGGGCTAATTAAACTTCACCCCAACGAGAAACAGATACGGGAGAACCTATTTGGGCTTTCCGGGCCACATAGATTAAAGCCCACAAATCACTCAGACAAATGGACGGTTATAAATAGCTATGCGTATCTCTTGTACCCTCACAAGCAGCTCTAGGGTTTCTCTAGTATAGGGTTTTACTCTTCCCTCTCTTGAAAATCTATAAAATTGTTTAGGGTTTTCTTCTTCACGTATGCGCCGCCCTTAAGATCGCCTTCCTTATAAAATGGAAGCGTTTCGAGTCATAGCTGCGCAATATTGAACTTCCTTTTAGGAGTTTCTCAATAGGGTTCTCCTACTGAGTTTCTCCTTATCGTCCCACCTGAATTTTCTTCACGAGGCATTTTTTTTCTTTGGATCTGTTTGGTTTTCCTGTTTTTTTGAACTGCTAGGTATGTATTAGTCTTAAAATCTTTTCTTATCTATGCTTGTTCAAATCAATGGGAGCTGCAGGTCCCTTGATATTCGTGTGAAAGGCTCATTATTTGGTGGGAAACAATTAAACCTTTCTTAAATATTTGCAAAACTTTTACTCTTTTGAGTCGGCGTAGAGATTCATTAAATTGGCTAGTGTGATGAATCAATTAGATGTGTGAATGGATTTTAATCCATATTGAACTCAACTTTTTGAGGCATATTTAATTGTCTGACTTGCTTTTGTTTTAGTCTTACTTTTTTGGGGTCTGGATAATAATTATTCGTGTTGCAAGCAAGTATTTTGACTATTGAAGTTTGTGAGGTCGATGATGATAAATTCAAAGGCTTGTTTCTCAAAACATTCGCAGTGGCCGCCTAAGTGCTTTCGCCATCGCCAGGCTTGAGAGCGTGTGCTGCTTTTATCCTTCCTTGGATGTCTGAGATCTCAATTCTACCTTTTGATACATTATTATAGTCGTGATATTGGTTTTATATGATTAAGGAAAAGATTTTTATTTTGATCTGAGTTCAATGTAGCTGTCCTCTTTCAACTCCAAAATTTTGAATGATGTTTTTCACAAGCTATAGCATTATTTGTTTGAAATTAAAAATTATTTTGTTTTTGTCCAAATTTCTTGTTGATGATGACAAATCCAAAGGCTTGTTTCTCAAAACATTCGCAGTGGCCGCCTAAGTGCTTTCGCCTTCGCCAGGCTTGAGAGCTTATGCTGCTTTTATCCTTCCTTGGATGTCTGAAACTTTTACTCTGAGTTGCATTTTTCTTTTCTTCGCGTTTATGCCTACCCTATTCTATTTTTCATGATTTAACTTGTTACCGTAGATACTTTTCTTGATGCATGTCAAAAGTTGCTGTGGATCTTAGCAAGCATCAGAGTGTTTAAAAGTTTTTGAAGAAATGTATTTTCGTACATTGTCTTTTCTGGTATTTTTTTAACGAAAAATATCTCAATTTTCTTTAAACTTCTGTTGGTGATGACAAATCCAAAGGCTTGTTTCTCAAAACATTCGCAGTGGCCGTCCAAGAGCTTTCGCCTTCGCCGGGCTTGAGAGCTGATGCTGCTTTATCCTTCCTTGGATGCCTGAAACTCTTAACCGCATTTTACTAACGGTTCCTGTTTGTAATGACTTATATTTCCATTTAATGTTTTATTCGTTCTGGTTATGAGCCTAAAATTTCTATACAGCCGGGTCTTTGTATATGATATGATATTCCTATGTCTGATAATATGTTTTATTTTATCTTTTACTTGTAACAGCATATTTTATTACTTTGTGGGATGCATAAATTCAACGAATCGTCTTTAAATCATCTCCGCCTCGTTGTAAGAGCTTTTAATTTGACTTTGGAACCGATCCTTTTCCAATCCCTGGAACTCTGAAGCTGTTGCCTAGATCCTATTGTTGAAGAAGTTCTATTTTTTCAAGTAAAAGTTAATCGTTCATATGTAGCTCAGAAAACTGAGCAGTTATTGTAAAACTATGATGAAGTTGCCATTTATGTTATCCAGCTTTTTGCAAGCACGTAACTTTTTTTTTTTTCAAAATTGCGAGAAGTAGCTTACTGAATACGACTTGTCTTACTTGCACTTTGTTTAAGCCCCAACTTCATGTTGGATGCAAAATGCTTATAACGCAAAAGGTGTACGGCAAACTAAAACACAAAATGCCCTGCCCATTTGATGTCTGCAAATTGAACCCTTTTAAGCGATTAAGTGTTAGCTCCTGTGGAATTTATATTTGGTTAACGTATTCATAAAATCTTGATTGAAATTATACACGGTAGTAGATTTTGAACATTAGCATGACACTTGAAAACAACAGTAGTGAGTTGGTGAAGTAGCCATAGCATTTTGCTGGAGCAATTCCTAGAAATTAATCTGATTTCACATCTCATTTTTCCTACTGTCCATAATTGAAAGGGCAGGCGAGGATTCGTGCAAATGGAAACTTATTTGAAAACATTAAGATTGACTAAGGAAACTAGATCCCTTTCCATGATAACAACAAAATCAACTGTATCTTTACTTCAAATAAAAAAGGAAATTACTTCAACCAATGATATCTATTCAAGAAATTGCTTAGCATAAAACCAGTGATCCCGTTTTCGCAAGTAATGTAAACTATTAGAAAATGGTCATTGTATAGCACACGAAGAGATCCACCGATTAAACTTCATTTCAATTCTGACTATCACCTTCAAAAATCTGTTGCCATAACTGTAGCTAACAATTCCAAACTCCTAATAGCAATTCCCCGACCCCATAGTTATTACAAAGCACATGAAGAGATCTAACGATTAACCTTCATTTCAATTCTGACTATCACCTTCAAAAATCGGTTGTCATGGCTGTAGCTCTTAACAATTCCAAACTCCTAATAGCAATTCCCCTCCCCCCATCTTGGGAGGGGAGGGGATTTACTTACCCGAGGCCTTCTGTGGGCCTTCCAGTGAACCCGAAAAAAAAAAAAAAAAAAAAAAAAAAAACACTACAACAAGCACTGAGAGACAACTGCCTCAAACTATCTCCTGCCAAAATTTCTTGACGCAGCATATCTTCATCTCCATCAGATTCAATATCATCATTATCCTTAAAACTTAGTATTCCTCTGCTTCACCATTGCAAAGCAAATGCTTGCCCTCCGAACTGTGTTCTCAATATTTTCATAGTTTTCCTTATGTTATCAAATGTGGATGGACGTTAAGGGCAGTGACTGAGCTAATTGATAAAACCTACTAGAGTGTTTCAACAGCCGGCAGCAATGGTTAATCTCCTATAACTTCCAAAATCATCTCTCGCGATGAGCTTGGGACCAAGACACAGTTAATTGGAGATGATTTCTCCGGTTAGCATTTCCTCAATATCAAATTACAAATGGTAGCATGTTTGTATGTAATCTCCCAAAGCCCTGCAGACACCCTACGTTTCAGTCATGCCTATCTAGAACAACATCGGGAATGGAAGAACAAATGTTTTCATTGTCTGACTGAGAAAGAATGTTCTCTCTCATTGCAGTAAGCACGTAAAAAAACAAGGAACATACTACTAGTACCCTTTTGAAAACAGGAATGTGGTGAGCAATTAGAAACCAAGCTAGCATGAGAAAATCCTACCAGTCATTCATCTGATCCAGTATTTCTAGCCAGAGTCAACTTATTTGGGGAAAAAAACACATTCAGAAGAGAAACATGATAAACCTCCATTATAGAAACAAAGGAAAATCAATTATCCTACCTTAAAAGGTGAAGCTTTGCATAAACCTATAAAATCCCAGTTTTGCAACAAGCATTGCAAATAATAAATAAAATGACACAAGGAAAGGCTAATACTTCTAAAAACGTCATTCAATTCTAATTATCACCTTCCAAAATCTGTTACCATAATTGTAACAACTACAGTTCCACCAAAACAAATCAAAACCCCCCAAGTCTACATTATCAATAGCAGTAGTAGTAAAAATAATCAAAATCAATCAAGAAACCCAGTTTGACGCCAAACAGCATTCCTAACCTGTCTCAGATCTCTTCCTTTCAACGTCCTCCCAACACCTTCAAGCACCGAAAATGTTGTCTTCGGCGACCGCCTCGATCCTCGTGCCACAATCTCATGAGGTGGCAACATTTCTTCATCTCCATCAAATTCACCATCATCATCCTCCTTAAACCTGCTATTCCTCTGTTTCGCCATAGCAATCGACAACACCGGCACATTCATCGGGGCCGATTGGTTCAATTTCCTTAACGGCACCGACTGCGACGCGTATTCCGCCACGTGCGGCGACCTCGGAATTAATGGGATTGCTCTAGACGAGGATGAAGAAGAAGATGATGATGGAAGTGAAGGCTTGCGGCAAAGAACCCCGTTGTGGTTGGATTCGGGTAAAGCCGCGAGAATCCCCGAGTTCTTAGGAAAAACTGTGTGGCGGTTAAATTTATTTTGGTGGTTGGCGGCGCCGGTGGTTGTTGGAGAGGACGACGAGGAATTGCTTTGGCTTTGATCGGTGGAATCGTTGGTCCAGAAAATATCATCCTCGTTAAGCTCATCACCGTTACCATTACTGTCACCATTTCCGTCGGCCACGGAGGAGGAGGAGGCAGACGAGGAGGGGATGCCGAGGAAACGGTAACGGGAGGTAGGGTCCATCAATTTTTTAAAAAAAAATAGATGGAGAATTAATAATGTTAGGTAGATTCGTAGATACAGGATTTTATGTGCGTTTTCACGTTTATTTATAGAGATTTTTCAAAAAACAAAAAAAGTAAAAAGGGGGGTGGTAAGAAATAGTGGGGGACTGATGTGGCGGAGAGGAGGGGTGAAGACGCAGAAGTGGAAGGGGAAAAGTGGAGATAAACTGAGAGAGGGGACCGAAGGGTGTGTGGGTCCGCTGGGGTCGGTGTTATGGATGACGTGGCTGATGTTATTTTTTATGGTCTCTGCCAAAAAGAAGTCCACATTCGGTCTATTTGGATTGGATTTATTTATTACTCCGTGGTCGGTGAGGATATGCCACGTTAATTTTGCTCCGTTTTCCTTTGCATGTATTATTTTGCTCTGATTTTATCGTTTCAGTCTCTTTTAAGTTTTGAATATGGTTCACTCTCTTTGCAACGCATAAAGGAAGAATGTTTATCTCCCGTAGATTCCAAAGAGATATGCATTGAATTTTTTTCCATTATCCATATCATACCCATTTTAAGCCCTCAATAAATTTTTATTTTTATATAAAATTTAAAAAATAACATGTTGCATTGTTTCTTTGTTTTTCCATGATTTCTAGGTATTTGTATAATTTTTTTTAGGATTTAAATCTCTTAGATTATCCCCTAATTTTAATTATAAAAAAAAGGAGGAAATTGAAAGGAGAAAAGGAGAGAAAAAAATCTGAACACAAATTAAAGAATATAAAATGTGTGAGGACCAATAAAAATCAAATTGAAGGTGTAATCAAAACAAGAAAAAAAAATAAGAGACCAAAACAAAATTAACCTAAAATCCTAAAAATCTTTATAAATAAATCTATTTCTCTCACAAAAAAGGGAAGGGGAAACCCTAGATGGCCATAATTTTCACCAAAAAAAAAACAAACGACCCCTAAGGAAAAACCCTAAAACTCATCGAATCTATCCAAACCCATTAGACTCGACGATGGGTTTCTCTCTTAATCAACCACTTTTTGACCAAATCGAAGGCGACCACCACCACAAAATGCTTCATCTAGCTTCCAAGCAATCATCCTCAACTTGAAATTAAAGGAGAAGACGACCAAATTGATAGAAGACGAGAAAGAAACCATGCACCCTATCCATTTACCACCATTCGGATTTCGATGTTTTCTAGCCATATTAATGGTAGCCACCACCAAAGAACTTTTCTTCTAGCCTCCAAGCAACCATCCCCAATTTGAAATTAAAGAAGAGACGACCAAATCAATGGAAAACTACCGAGTTGTAACGACAACAAGACCTTTTTTCTTTCCTATTTTCCGGCCAAATCGGACCATTTAAAAGCCACACCGAAGCTCTTGGAAGTCCTAGATGTTGTTTTCCTTTAATTTTGAAACTTGAAAGCCATCCAATTCGGTCAAAATTGACAAGAGAAGAGGAAGGAGATTGGTCAAAATTTGTCGACCGTCGATCTCTTTCCACAAGTGACAACGGCCGACACAACCACCACTAACATGAAAAAGAGGTCGAGACGAAGCCAACTCCACCATCCACACTCCAAATAGCGGTCGGAGGATTGAGTGGCGATGACAAGAAGATATAGGTTGTCAAAGGATCAATTCTATCATTTTTCAAAAACGGGGGATATTTTTGCTATTTTCTACCGACATTCCTCGAGCATTTCGATCTTTTTTTAGTGACCATTTAGTTTGTTTTCTTACCTTTTTTTAAATTATTTTATTATTTTATTTTGTAATAATATTTTATTTTATGTGTGTTAGAAAAGTAAAAATATTTAGGTTGTAAATTTTTCTTTAACATGTGGATTTTCATTCGATCGTGATGTCGAGCAATGAATCTTCTATTTATTAGGAATGGACGATGCTATTGATATTTTTATCAACTAATGAAAATACTAAAAAAAACTTTGTTAAATTAATTAGATGAGTAGGTCGAACTAATGAGCCTTCGATTCAATAGGGATCGACAAGTGGTCGCAGTGTTTTATTTGAAACAAATAGCTAAAAACAAATAATAAGTAATAATAAAAAATAAAGAGTTAAGTCGGACCATTTTTATTCGAGCATTCGAGTAAAAACTTTAGATTACTAGGTCGTTCCTTGACATGAAAATCGTGTCGGGACTTAATTGGATTTGATGCTAAATTGATAAGACTCTCAAGTCTTAGGCTCAACGTTAATTTAATATGATTCTATAAAAAAAAAATAAAAGAATCAATTTTTGAAGATTTTTTTCCCATCCACATCTAAATAAAAATACATTTAGTTATTAAGTCATTCCTCTACATGTCATTCTTGTCAAAACCTAATTGGATCCGATACTAGATTTATGAGACTCTCAAGCTTGATGTTCGATATTAATTTAATGTGGTTTTATGATAAAAAAAATAAAAATCATTATTTGAATTTAGATAAATAAATCTGAAAGTAGATTTATAGATAAAAAAATCAATTTAAGAGATATTTTTCATTTGTGTTTTAATTTGACACACTTAGCTAATTAGGTCATTCCTTGACAAACCAATGTCAAGACTTAATTGGATTTGATGCTAAGTTGATGTGATTTTCAATCTTAAGACTCGTCGTTAATTTAATACGGTGCCATAATAAAAAAATAAAAAAATTAATTTGATCTAGATGATAATTAAACTTGGAAAAGACTTACGAAATAATTTAATAAATATAATTCTTAGAAGATATTTTTAGGATTAAACCTAACATGGTATCTTTTCTTGGAAAGAATGGTTTTTGGATTATCATTATCTTTCCAAAAACATAACCAACTCCTTATCCAATAATCTTTGAATTCGAGTGCATTTTTAGGTTTTTTAATTACCTTTAATATTAGGTGACGACTCCAAAATTTTTTTTCTTTTTCTTAATTCCTTTTCTTTTACATATCATTAAATTTTTGAAATTCCTCAAAATATCGAGTAGTAATAACCCACATGCTTTGTATGTGATATTAACATTGTATAGATTACTTCAAATCAAACTTATGCTTAATTTGGTTTTCCTAACACTTGTTTAATAATATGAGTACATATCAATGGTTGTGATGCTCAATTGGAATGTGTGTTTGTGTGTGTATCCAAAGATAGATTATTCTATTCTTTTTTACATAAAATATTACGTCCATGTCATAATATTTTTATTTGAAAAAATATGCACCACATCCGTTGGGAAATTGAAACCGGGCATTCATAAGGTGATTGTTACCATGACTTTAAGCTATTAATAACTTAATTTCTTCATTATAAAAATAAATCACTTTTATTCCTGTAATTCTCTTGATTTTATTTTTACTACAATCTTGATAACTTCAAACGATATAAAAGAAACTTCAATTAAAGTTCCTACGTTGTGATAATATTGTTACATTGTACCTATTGATTGTAATACTATAGCAAGTTTTTTTATCTAATAGTAAAATTTATTCATTACCACATCTAAAAATTCATCGTTATTTGCTTATTGAACAACCCTACGATGATGTAATGCCATAAAGAAAGTTACATCTTGTAGTTATATCTTATCTACAAATGAGAAATATCGTAATTAATGCAATCTAAATCTAAATTCTTCGAAATCGTAGCTACATAATAAAAAGTAATTTAGTATTTTATTTTGAGTCCAGTATCATAACATAAAAATATATAAATTTTTATATCTTTAAATATGTTATCATTAGGAATCCATCATCTAAAAAAAAAAAGAAAATTATCATATATAATGAGAATATAAACATTTTCAATTACAATAATTCGTAACAACGCGTTTTTGTTTCTTTGTTTTTAGATCTACATGTTAAAAAAAATTACGCATCTTTTTATTCTTAATTGTGTAATAGTTTCTCTTTTTACTTTTGTTTTAATCATTTTGTTTGAGTCCTAATTTGACATAAAGAGAGGGTCTAAGTCTTAATTTGACACAAAGATTGGATAGCATTTCCATAATTCGATAACTATCTTATGACATGCGCCTTGACTCATTTTTATTTATCCTTTTTCTTCTTCTTCTTCCTCCTTAATCAAATATCTTAAATTTTACCATTCATCATCTCCTACTTCCCTCTCGCTAAAACCACTCCGGACGTCAAGACCTCCTCGCTAGAGCTAGCATTAACAACCTTTAAACCTTCGATATCCTCCATCTCAATTCTCATAAAACTCGACCAAAATAATGATATTTCCTTGATTCCTTATCCGTATTTCAAATTTAACCAAAATAATTAAAACTAGAAACTTAAAACATAAAACATGATCAATTTCTTTTATTCTCCTATAAAAATAAAAAATAAATTCGCTTATACAAATTATGAGAAAATTATAACTTAAATGTCTAACTTTTGAATTTTTTTTTCCGTTTGAGTGTCCAACCAATAAATCCTTCTATTTAAGTGTCTAGATTTTGATTTTTTTATTTTATTTGAAAGTTTACAATAACTCGAGATTGAAAAATATTGACATATCTCGGATAAACTGCCACGTGATAGTTGTTAAGCGATACGTGATAAAGTGAATCTCATTTGGATTGTTAAAAAAATACATTTAGGGTGACTAACTTTTGATTAATTTTCTTTTTGAGTGCCTAACATTTGATTTTTTTTTCTATTCGAGTTCTTTCAGCTACCTAAAATTAAAAAATACCAACATGATCGGAATCTATGGCATGTGGCAATATTTAATTGACACATGGCAAAAACTAGGTCCCATTCGGATTTGTTAAGGAAAAAAATTATTAAATTTTTATACAAGAAAATAGTTGGCAAAAATTTAAGAAGAAAATCAAAATCCTTTATTGTTAGTCGATTGAACTGAAATTATTTAAATGATCTAAGGTTAAAACTCTTGGATTGTGCAAATAAAATGTTTAGATGGTGATATCTTGAAAGTATTTTAAAAAATTAGTTAGCAAACTTGTCGAGTTCATTCGACTAAAATTAATTGATTTTAATTTTTTTTAATTATTATTAGCTTTTTTTATAATTTTTTTTCTAAATAAATCCAAATAAGACCCCACCTTTTATCATTTGTCGAGTTAAAGACTATTGTGTGTTAATGAGTTCCGACTACATTAGTATTTTTCAGTCTTGGGTGACTAAAAAATCTAAAATAAAAAAAAATGAAACTTTAGACACTCAATCAAATAAATAATCAAATGTTAGACACTCAAATTATAGTTTAAAAAAGAATTCTTTTTTTTTAAAAAAAATCATTTAAAAGGGATTTTTTTTTACCATGTGCTACTTCATATCGAAAATTTCAATATTTTTCAATCTTAAGTAATCATAGGCACTTAAATAGAAAAAAAATATTTATCAATTAGCATAAAATAGAAAAAAAATAAAAAATTAGGCACTTAAATTATAGTTTTCTCTACAAATTATCATCGCAATGATCTCCAATACCAAGCCTAGAAACATGGTTCTTCAATTTGGATTTCTTACATCTATTTCAGCAACTCTGTCATAACCATTGGCCAATATTCCTCCCTTGTGCCAACATGTTTCCCATTTCCCTCTCAATTTTAATTTTAAAGCAACATGATGAAAACTAAATCCAAACATCTACCAATTTACGCAGTTGATCAAAATTAAAATGATTTTAAAGAAACACATATAGTTACCTTTGTCTTTTTGTTTGATATTATAATCTTCCTCTAGATCAAGGTACTCGATCCAATTAGAGCACCCGTTTCACGATAATCTTCGTTTAACCCAATGTGATCAGTTTTTGATGTTGAGATTATCACTTCTTCTTAATTTGTGGAGTCTTATTTATGAGTAATTCGTGAGACATGTTAAATGATTGGACAAACCTTGCCTTTTGTCTAATTCTTCATCTCTTAATTGCCTAATTTGAGAAACAATTCATTTGGAGGCATTATTGATCCGAATTGCTTGCCACGACCAATTTGTTGTCTCTTCATTTAGATACTAATAATTTTAGTGGGCCTATGACTTCTAATCTTCTTCCTTGTAAGAATTTGAAGAATATTAATCTTGTTCGAACAATTTCATTGGCCACATTAACTTAGTCTTGTCTCATCAATCGATGTTAAAAATTATACGTAATATGAAGCCTTTTTATCAAGTCTTATTGAGAGTTGAACATATCTTTTTTAGGTCCAATAATATTAAAACTCTTCGTTTGTAAATTCTATGGAGTGCTCAAGTTGTGATTTTGGGTTTTATTTTGGTTAAAATTGATTACCACCACTTGTTTTGGTGGATGGGTTTTGTAGGGATTAAGATGGAGAATTTTAGAGGTTTAAGGGTTGTTGATGGTGGCTATAGTAGGTTTTGGTGGATGTGGTGGGAAGGTCTTAGTAGGCTGGAATGGTTTTGGATTGAGGAGATAAAAGATGATGAATAATAAATAAGTAAATAAAAATAGGTTGGGATACCTATCAATACATGGAGAAGGTTATTGGATGATGAAATGGGCTACTCTGTCTTCCAATCAAATAAGAACTTGAGTAAGACTATTTTGAAAGTAAATAAGAGATATTAAGATAAATAAAAATAAATAGGAAAAACTACTATAAAATTAGGTATCTTTTTAACCATTTTAAATTTACATATATTTTTCTTCTTATTGAGTTTATAAATCTAGATTTAGTGTTTATTATCTATAGATTTGTTTGTTTGTCAACAAAAATTGTTCTTAGAATTGTTCTAAAGATTTTTGATTTGTTGTACGGACCGTAGTCTTATTTTCAATAAAGATTTGAGAAAGATTGTTTTTTATTCAATGAGAAGATTGAAATTTCACACAAGTCTTGGATCTTCCATCAATATGATTTGATAGTACAATTCATTTCTTGTTTGTTCATGATGATTCAAAATCATTTGTATATATGCTACAAAAAAATTCGTTGACAAAAAAATTTAAAATTGAGAATTTTAAAGAGTTTTAGCACAAGAATAGTATGGATCTAGAATCCCACTTGTTTATACTATGAAATGACCAATAAAAAAGAAGTTGTTCCAAAGGAGGGTGTCTAAAGTGTCCCACATCAATAATATTTTGATTATACAATTTAATCGCACAATGAACATTCTGCGACAAAAAAAAAAAAACCATTAAAATATATTTTAATTTTTTACCTAAAATAGTACAAATATGTAGGTTTTTTTGGTTACTAAGAATGAAAAATCTATAATAAAAAATAGAAAAATCATAATAAACATTAGAAAATCAAAATAGCATTTTATTTCCATACTATGTTTGTAATAACGATAAAGAATCGGAATGAAATTTAAAATTTTAATAATTTTTTTTAAACAAATAAAAATAATAATTAAAAAATTTATTTCATCAACTATAATTGTAGTAAAAATAATAAAAATGATTATAGTAGTGGTGGTGGTGAAGGAAGAGGAAGAAGAGATGGTAATGGTAGTAATAATAGTATAGTAATAACAATACTATATTTTTTAAAAATTGATACCACTTCTATAGATAGTGGCAATGAAAGAAGAATTGTAGTGGTATAGTACAATAAAAATAATAGTGACATAAGAGGAAAAGTGGTGGCTGAATTATAATAATAATAATTTTTAAACTCTTTTTAGCTCCACCATCAATGGTAGCGACGGCGGAGGAAGTGGAGGTAATGATGATGATAGAAGTAGTTGATGAACTATAGATAAAAATAATGTATCATTATTTTTTTTAAAAAAAATTTATTCTTATTTCCACATTTTCTATAGAAATAAAATTATATTTAATTTTTATTTTTATTGTCACTCTTTATTTTTAATCCTACTTTATTTTTTAAAACTAAATATCTAAAAAATGAGAATAAAATTTTTATTTTCATTATCGCAATTTAATTCATTATTATCAAATAACACCTTAATTTTTTTCCCATTTGATTCATAGCATCTCTATTCTCACTCTTCATTTCTTATTTCACTTTATTTTTTCAACAAAATACCTAAAAAAGTAAAAGTAAAACTTTTATTTTTATTCCCACTATTTCATTTCTTATTATCAAACAATACTTTGATTTTTCTCATTCATTTGATAGCATGCAATGTTTTGCAGATGATATCTCATTAAGTAAAAATATAAATTCGTAACAGAAAACTATATGTATATATCACCCATTAGACGCTACTTTAACAATGTACACACCAAAGATAATTAAATGGTAAGCAGCGGTTATTGTACTACAAGTGCTATCGAGCTGTAATTAAGCCTTAACTACAAATTAGTCTCTCAAATAAAAGGATGATTGGAATTAGCTCTACCGTGACTTGCCTAATTATTTCCCCAATCACATTTCTTTAAAAAAAAATCAGTAAGTTATATCATATTCAAATGTTTAAGAAGTAATTGCATTCCAAATGTTTGAAATCGATTGATATAATATTTTCAATTCTATTTTTTTTTTTTTTTTTTTTGTCTAAAGCTATATTCTATCATATGGAAATAAAGTTTTTAGTTAAGAAAAAAGAAAAAGAAAATACTAAGATAGGAGTTAGCATAAATACATTGATTATGGCTTACCAATAACCATGGTGTTAAATTATAAAAATTATAACTTAAACTTAGGTTTGGTAGATAATCTGAATAAATAAGAATACGAAACATGTATAGTCGATATTGGTTTAGTAGTTAAATAAAAACTAGGCATAATAATTAAATAAAAATTAAGCATATTTTGATATTGATTTAATCTAAAACATATGGACTTAATCTTAACTAATGTAAGAACTCGTTCGAGGATATTTCATTATATATATATATATAAACATAGTAGTGGTAAAGCTGTAAATATCAGTACTTTGAAAACTGATTTGAGAAATGTATAATAATTGGATGACCGAACTATAATTCTGGCTTGATAGAAGTAAAATACACGTATAGTTAACTGGGCCCAAAAGTGGAAAGCACGAATCTACACCGTACACGCCACACGATCATGGATGGCCAATAGCATTGCACCTACCAGCACGACTCAGCTCTTAATACCATCGCGTGTTGAGGAAAAACCCAACCAAGGTGTAAGGTGTCCCTCTCGTTTTTTGACACCTCTCTCTCACTGGGCCGGATCCCTCCGCTGGGCACGCATCCCTGCGCATATTAGGCAACAAAATGAAGACAACTGCTACTGTTCGGCTCATAAAAAAGCGCGCCGAGTTCAGTTCTCTTAACTAACACCCAGCTTTTTTTATAATATAAATAAATAAGGCCATGTTTTCAACGGTAAATTACGATACCTGCCACTTCCCATCTCTCCTTCTACTCTCTCTCCTCTCTAGCTGCTCAATCAGTTTGCAAATACTCTCACAGTTTATTAATTCCGTTTCAATTTTTTGTTTGTTGACATTAATCAAATGGAGCAACAGCAGCAGCAACTGCAGAGAAGTGCATCAGGGAGTCCAAGCCCTAGATCTCCGTCATCGCAACCTTATCTATCAGTTTCGGTGACTGATCCTGTCAAATTAGGGAATGGCGTTCAGGCTTACATCTCTTATCGTGTTATCACCAAGGTAAGGTATTTGTCTACTTGTTTTAATTTTGGTCGAGGTTTTAGGGTTTAGTTCTTGATTGTAATTAATTGTTTTGACTCTTAGACAAATTTACCGGAATACCAAGGGCACGAGAAGATTGTGATTCGGCGTTACAGCGATTTTGTCTGGTTGCGTGATCGGCTTTTCGACAAGTACAAAGGTGTATTTATTCCTCCTCTTCCAGAAAAGAGTGCTGTAGGTAAGGAATCGATCTATGTCGTTAATTTGTAAAATTATTCAGGGAAATTTGAATAATGTGTTGGTTGGAGCAGGAAGTTTGAATTTTATTTTACTACTTATTGATTCTTGATGTTGGGGATGCAGAGAAGTTCCGGTTTAGTGCTGAATTTATTGAGATGAGGAGACGAGGGCTGGATATATTTGTTAATAGGATAGCTTCGCATCAACAGCTTCAGCAAAGTGAGGATTTAAGGACCTTTTTGCAGGAAGACGAAGAGGTGAGTGAGATTGTATCATCTGCAGTTTGTTAGCAATTAGCAATCTTTTCGTGCTGTATGTGAAGGATCAATTCATTCAATATCGTGAAATAACCGAACTAATTATAAAGGGATAAACTATGTTCATAATTTTCTAGTGAATGTCATAAATCATTAAACTTTTCTTTTTCTAAGGAGTGGATCCTTTATTGGTGTAAATTTTCATCGATAACAAATTTCTGGACACGTTTAGGGAAAGAAAGGGACGAAAAGATTAAAAAACACAAGTAAAGTGGAATATGGCTTGGTTGTCATGCTTTATCACTTTAATTTCTTGAATTGGTCTACCTTGGATCTGTCCAGAAAATGCAGTGAATTGAATTGGCAGCTTAAAAGTTTTTCATCGGGAGTCATGAATGAGACTGCATATTTGATCTTTCATTTTTTTTTCCACCTGTATCATTCCCAAACTGTATCTGATGCAGACAACAAAAGAAGCACAGCTTGTGTCTTTTTGTAGACAAGGATATTTCTGTAATTTTCAGAAAATCTGAAATTTTGTCTAAGTCTAGGTTTTATTTTCTATTTAGTATTCTATTAGTCACGAGGAGTAATTAGCTTTATTAGGTTTTTTCCTATTCTATTAGGCTTAGTATTTCTTAGTATTTTCTTATTTAGGAATCTAAGTCCTTATTGGATTTGGACTACTAGAACTCTATGAAATAAGCATGTAGCCTTTCAATATTTATGACTGACAGTTCATGAATAAAACCCCAGCAATTTGCTTTTGATTGTGTAACTCATCTCCCTTAGACGTGTGAAGCTTAGGTTTTTCTAAGTGTGGCTCCTAGAAACCCTATCATTGTGACTCTAATAGTTCTACAATTCCCAGTAGCAATCCACTTTAATACAACCCAATGCAGTTCTAAACAGCCTCCAAACTCTGATCCAGAACAACCCCCCTAAGCTGCCCTATGTCATTACAAAATTTGAAGCCTTTCAACTGGAAGTTGAAGCAAGCAAGAAATCTATTGATGAAAGGTAAGATAACATTGAAGGAAAATTTGATTCCAGACTTGCAGCAATAGAGGCATCAATCGAAAGGCCTTCGAAAATTGTTCTAGGTAAGCAACTGGCTATCACAATAACTGATAACTCTTTTCCACAAAATCAAGGTGCTGTGGCTACTCATAATACTCAACCAGCTGCATTGCCCATTCAAAGGAGGGAGCAAATCGATCCACAAGACACTGCTAGTGATATTACAAAGAAAGTAAAGGTTGATGATGTTCCTGATTTCAAAGGAAAGGTGGATCCTACACTATTTGATAATTGGATTAAGTCTATGGAAACCTTCCTTAATTGGTATGATATGTCGGATGAATGGTGGGTAAGGTTTGCCAAGATGAAACAAGTTGAGTTAGCTAAAATTTGATGGTATTGTGTTGAGCAAGATTGATACACGGATACAACCATCCATTACTACTTGGAAGGAGATGAAAGCTATACTTGAAGAGAGGTTCTTGCGTCTAGTTATCGACAAAGGATACCTGAGAATGCCTACAACATACAGCAAATCAGCTTGTTAAATGCTAATTATATGCTGAGTTTTAGTGAGTTGAAGTTTAGAAAACAAAGGGAGGAAAATTTGAATCAACAGCTGCATCAAGGAGAAAATCAGCAACTTTTGGAAATAAAAGGGTTCAAATGATTGGCAGCAAAACCTGTGCAGCCATTTATTCAACCTGAACAACAATGTGAAGAACAATTCCAGCAACCTAAGGGCTATGAAATGAAGGTAAAAACAGTACAAAGGGATGCTGGAAGGTCTGAAGAGAAGTTCAGCAAATAGAAACTGAAAGTCAGCATGTAGGAAAGAAATTCAAGGGACAATTAAATGACGAGGTCAAAGAAGTAATTATTGACATGCCAAAGACAGTAGATATTATGAACGAACAAGAGCACAACATCAAGGATACTCAAGAGAGGGATGATCAAATTGTACAAATCAATCACATTGAGTTCCTTCTTCCTCCCAAGTTTGGTGTTTCAGTTCTAGAGAAAGGCATCATGCTTTCCTCACCGTTTCCTCTTATGGAAAAGGGTAATTGGTATCAAGTTCAAGTGAGTGGCTTCAAGCTACGGGATGAGGTGTGAAACGTGTGGTTTTTGCTACTTCGACAGTTCAAAACTCAAGGTCGAGTCTTCACCAACCAGGGGACAATGATGCAGACAACAAAAGAAGCAAAACTTGTGCCTTTTTGTAGACAAGGATATTTCTGTAATTTCAAAAAATCTGGAATTTTGTCCAAGTCTAGGTTTTATTTTCTATTTAGTATTTTATTAATTCTAAAGAATAATTAGCTTTATTAGGTTTATTCTTATTCTACTGGACTTAGTATTTTCTTACTTAGGAATCTAAGTCCTTATTGGATTTGGATTACTAAAACTCTATAAATATGTAGCCTTTCAATATTTATGAATAGAAGTTTATGAATAAAATTCCAGCAATTTTTTTTTTTTTTTTGATTGTTTATGACTCAATCTTTCTTAAGTGTGACTCCTAAGAACCATAGGTGTGAATTTTAGGTTTATCTATCCTCTGGGTGTGACTCCTAGAAACCCTATTAATGTGACTCTTATAGCTCTACAATTCCCAGTGAAATCCTCTTTAATACAATCCAATACAGCCCTAAACAGCCTCCAAACTCAGATTCAGAACAACCCCCTAAGCTGTCCTACATCATTATCACTCTACCAGAAGCAAACACTGTGGCCGAATGTAGCATTTTCACACACATTATCTCCAGAGATATAGTACTAGCATGCTATCTGTGTTGTTTTGACTTTTTTTTTTTTTTTTTTTTTTTGAGATGCAAAGTTAAAAGCAATTGATGACAATTCATTCTCAAGCAATTACCGACATGATTTGAGCCTATGAATCCTTTTCTGAATTATTAATAAGGAAGATGTAACTATATTGATTCATATAATGTTATTCTCAGCATGTAATTTAAAAATTTAACCTGTATGTTGCCTAGATAATTGCATGTGATTCTGTTCTTTCTTGCATACTTGATCTCTATAGAATACAACTGTGAGCCTTTAATTCAACATTATTTCATTACCTATTTTCCAGACAATGGAGAGATTAAGATCTCAAGAGACTGGTATATTTAAGAAGAAACCTGCTGATTTGATGCAAATTTTCAAGGTATGATGAGTTCTGTCTTTCTTTGCTGATTGACATGTGAAATTCAGCACTAATTTTCTGGTGTTTGAAGACTGTCTTGTAACATCTGAAGACTTCTTTTCTTATTATGAATTCCCTTATATAATAAATTAATTATCAAATTAATCGGACATTAGGTCCATTTTGTCTGAAAGCATATCACTGAAATTGGATGATTGCTTCTTAATTTTTATTTGGATGATCACTGAAGTTGGATGATACTTTGCTTCTGTTGTGTGGGTGCTTTAAGACGATGCTTTAGTACTCTCATTGTGCAATTTTCTGGTCAGGTTTTGTGTTTATAGTTAGACAACTGGTTTCAAGTCCGAGGTCCAATTCTCTATATTTAATTATGAATATTTTTCACTGCATGTTGTTGGTTAAGTTTAGCACATGAGACAGTAGTCATTTCCACCTGCGCACTGAAATCTACAGAATCGGCCATTCAAACTAGCACACTATTGGTTTGGTAATCATGGTCCAAATGTTTTGCAGGACGTCCATTCTAAAGTGAGTGATGTTGTTCTTGGGAAGGAAAAACCTGTTGAAGAATCAAGTCCTGAATATGAAAAGCTGAAACATTACATCTTTGAGCTTGAAAACCACTTGGCCGAAGCTCAGAAGCATGCATATCGTCTTGTAAAGCGACATAGAGGTAATGGTGGTTTATGTTGCTACATATTACCCAGGATAAGTCTCGTTTCATGTTTCGCTTTTAGAATCATTACGATGCAGTACATTCTTGTGATGTGATTGTCCACACACACACACACACACACACACATATATTTTGTCAGAATTGGGGCAATCTCTATCGGATTTCGGTAAGGCAGCAAAGCTTCTTGGTGCTTGTGAAGGAGATGCCATAGGAAATGCTCTTTCTGAGCTTGGGACTAAATCAGAGGCGTTATCTGTTAAGCTGCAGAAGGAGGTAGGCTTTAAGTCAATCGTGCCTTCTGCTTCCAGATTCAGCATTTTGTTTTATGCTCTCTGTGCATGCATGCCTGCATGTCTATGTAGGCTTTTGATGGAGTTGATAACTTTCTTTTTAAATCATTGATATGTTTCTATGAACTACCAGGCCCATCAACTCTTAATGAATTTTGAAGAACCATTGAAAGATTATGTCCATGCTGTTCAATCTATCAAGGCAAGTTTGGCTTGCCCCTCTCCTCCCACCTTTTCCCTATCTTTTCACCCTCCTTTTTTTTTTTATTGTGCGCACGTGCATGCGCTCTATATTTGTCTTCGAAGCTGATCTTGTTATTCTGTGTATTTTGACAGGCTACCGTAGCTGAGAGGGCCAATGCCTTCAGGCATCAATGTGAACTGGCTGAAACAATGAAGTTGAAAGAGATAAATCTGTATGTCCTGGTTACTCCTTTCTTTTTTCTTTTAACTTTATTTTATTTGTGATTTCAATGGTTCCATGTGAAATGATCACTAACATTGCAAGAGATAGAACCTTACCTTTTCTCTTCATTCTTATATACTGTACTCTGATAAGTGTTTATTGGGTAATGACTTAAGCTACTATATCTTGCATGCAACTTAATTAAGTTCGTAAATACAAGTGTCATCTAGCAAAGCTGTCTTGAAAGTGTTTGATTAGGTTCTGTGCTTATAAGTTTCTCTTACCACATTTCAATTGGTAACAAGGCAGCATTTTGACAGTGCAGTAAAAATGGCCTTCTAGCATCTAATGCTGTGTGTAGTTGCATTTTTTTCATACATGCGACTTCCCAAGGCAGTCAAATTTTCTCCACTGGGAATGCTAAAAAAAGCTCAGAAATCCTGAACCTTGAAACCCCATTGCATCACTGAAGTTGTCATTTATCGTTGGCCTTTTCCCATGTTTCCATGGTAGTCAGTTTTCGCTGATGCCCCAGGTGATCTCTGAAGTTTCTAATTCGTATCTATTGCTGCAGTGACAAACTTATGCTAACACGTTCTGATAAAGTGGGAGAAGCAGAGCTAGAGTACAAGGAGGCAAGTTATTTTACGAGTAGCATATTGCACCTTAGAAATCTTAGTTCTCCGACTTAAAGTTTGCTTTCATGCAGTTGAAAGCGGAAAGTGAGGAAGCAACAAGAAGGTTTGAGACAATTGTGAGACTGATGAATGAAGAGATTGTGCGCTTTCAAGAACAGAAAACATTGGATATGGGGATTGCTTTCCATGAATTTGCGAAAGGACAGGCACGTTTGGCAAATAGCATTGCAGATGCTTGGAGAAGTCTTCTTCCTAAACTTGAAGCATGTTCCACATATTGAATGCCAAAAAGTGAGCTCTGGTTCACTTTCTTCGATCTTAGAAACGGTAGGGCCAAGCTCTTTGCTTTGTAAAAACCATAGAGTTTTGGGAGTTTTGCTACTCTGGTGTTGTACAAGATATGGCCCTTTTCCAAATTTTTGTTTCTTGTACAAATTTGAAACTAAGTGAAAAGCACATTAGGAGCAAACACGAAAAAATGGTCATCTGTGTCTTACGCTTCAGATCCTCTCTTCTCATTATTAAGATCTACACTTGATACTGTGCTAATTTTCTTCAACATTATCATGCAAGTGCCGTCATATTCTTAGTTCGCAGTTTACTACTAATGTTTCCATCCTGGAATTGGATTTGTTCCACGAATTGTATTAGATTGTTGCACTAGTTTTGGTATTTGTGTTTTCTCCGTGTTCTCGCCCGCATGTGATCAGAATGGCAGGATCAAGAAAGTTGTTTATTCGTGTTAAGAGAGAGAGAGAGAGAAAGGCAGTTGTTTATGCTGGCAGAAATTTCTCGGAGACTTTCAAGCATGACTGAGAAAGAGCCCGTTTGTGTTTGGACCTGAAGTGACCTAATTCTCTATTAAATGTTCCTACTTCCGTATAAGATGATCTCCTGATGGCCTGGAGGCAGGAATTTTCCGGCTGCCTGGTGCAAGTCTCATAAACTTCACAGATTATGCGATCACAAGTCTCCCATCTCGTTGCCCTTTTCTTTTTGCAGTCTCTTTAATTTTCAGATTCCTCATTCTCCACCTTTATTTTCCTAACTGCTCCTTGTTTTTTGAATTTTTTTTTTTTTAGACTAGGTCAAAGACCAATAGATTAAAAAAAAAAGATTTGGTTGGATAGCATTTTGAACCATCCGTCGAACGAAGATTTGTATTTGAATTTCAATTTTTTTAATTTGAGTAATAAATTTTATTTTTGGTTTGTAATTGAGTTAGAGTGATTTCATCAATCAGCTTCTTGACACGTTTTTCACAAGTGATGATGACACGATCCAAGAAATAAAAAGCATGAGGATTTGTTTAGTCAATTGATAGTGACATGATTCAATAAATAAAAAACATAAGTTGTGATAAAGTGATATTGTAAATTACCCTTCTCCTGAATTAAAACAAAATATTAGATTTTGAGAAAATACTAAATCATTTAATCAAACCTCTCATTTCTTTTCTCTCTCTCTTTCTTCTCCTTACATTTTCCTTCCACCACCACCAGCACCTCCCTCCCTCCTCTGCCACCTTCACCACCACATTTGGCATCAGCTACACTGCACCATCGCCACCCTCCCCTTGCTATACACCTTCTCTATCTGCAGTTCGTGTTCTCTCTACTCTCTCCTCCATCAACATCCGCTCTCTCCTCCTCTCAAACCCCGATCCTAACCTAATATGTTCTTTCGCTTTCACCAACACCTCTCTTTTCCTTTCCTTTCCTTACCTAATCTTGCTATTTTGTTTTTTTTTTTAAAAAAAAAAAACAAACAAAAACTCTCATGGCTTCATATCTCTTCAAATTTCACATCCAATCATTCAAAATTACAAATCACTAGCACAATTTCTACAACATAAAACTCTCCTCCAGCTCGCTTCCTACCTCCAAAGAAAAAGCCATTTTTCAGGCCAAAACGTGCCTCTCAACTACCCTCGAGAAGCCCCTAAACAACCCAAAACTAGCTGGCAAACTCAAGAAACTGAAGCAACCCCTAGATTCCAAGTAGAAATCCCAATCATAGATGACTCGCAAACTTCTCTCCCCTAACTCGCCTCCGATGTTTTTAAAAACCTGCCCATTAAGAGAAAAAGGGCGCCAGTCAAAGATTTTCATCTTCTGTTCGAGCCCCATATTGAGGAACAAAGGCATGGAAGCATTTCAATCTCATAATTCATCAAACTATGTTGAGCACTTTGACATTTTTTAAGTTAGAAATACAGACTGATGTGGCATTATTTTTAGCGCCAGAGAAACAGTTGCTTGATATCAAAACCGTCATTGATTTTTTATACCCAAAACCAGTAATCATATTACTGGCATATTCAACCCTAAAGGGTGTTCCAAAGTTCCAGACACGATCATCCATTGGTAAAGTAGAAAATTTTTTGCATAATTTTATGGCTATTAATTCATCAATTACAAAGTCTCCCAAGGTTTTTGAGGATTTGATGGAAATTTTAATTTAGATATGAATTTTTAGATTATTTTACAATGCTTTTTCTGTCATTTACATGACCAGCAAAATCGTTCAACTCGATTAGTAAAAAAATTGGTTTTTGATACTCAAATAAAAAAAAATTGAAATTCAGTCTTTATTTAACCAATAATTCAAGATACTACCGAATTAATTAGCCTAAAAAAAATAACCCAAAACCAAATATTAACATGCCCCATTATTGAATACTGACCACATGGTCAGATAAAAACACGATATTTTATAATTGAGTTTTAGCTTCTGAGAGCAATGAAATTTTAAAATGAGGTAAATCAACACTTATCTAATGTTTATAAATTAAAATTTACAAGCTAAAATTCCTTCCAAAAACTAGAACTAGACCTAATTTGAAGAATTCAATTCAAGCAAATTCTTAATGATACCTAATATTATTCTACTGCTCCAAATCTTAAATCAAACATATTTTCAACCCATTAATAATAACTAGCTATGACCATATAGAACAGGATCCACGAATCAAACATACGACATAAAATTCAGTACGAGGTTGAAGTGAAAAATCTACCTAACAGAAATCCCAAGAGTGTGACATTCAACACGTTCGGGGACGAGATGCCAATTTTCCAATTTCAAAACAAAAGAGCTGATAAAAACTATAAATGTACTTCAAGCATAAAACCAGGGCAGCTAGATTATCAAGTAAACAACATACTCCAAAGACAATAACAAAAATAATCTCAAAATGATAACTCCCTAACTTTAAAGATTCACATAAACCTCTTATCTCAGTATAGGAAAGAGATTGAAGGATCAACAAGACAAACTCTTAACCAAATTTATAACATTAAACAAATCACTGTCGCTGAACTTGACAAGCTCATTCTTCATCTTCTTCATCTCCATCTCCACCAGCAGCCTTCTTGGCAGCAGCCTTCATGTTCTTTCGCTTCACTCTACCAGGACGTCCCCCACCAAAGGGGCTTGTGAGTGAGAAATCAATGTGCTTTTGGGAGTCCACTCTCACCAAGAAAGATGGAATGTTGACCACCTGCCTCCCAACCCTGCAGGGCAAAACAAGTGTAAATGAAAAGGCAAAACCTTAAAATCCAGAATCCAACAGAGTACAACGACAAAAAAAAAAAAAAAAACACAAAATATGAAGGGTGAAGATCAGGTAAAATGGTCATAACTACTTTAAGTTGTGAAATTTGTGACAAGCAAATCTCGAGCACTGAAATCACAGGAACTTAGAATGGATGCTAATTCTGAATAAAGGAGAGTCAGAACATTTTATAAAGGAAAGAAAAGAAAAGCACCCAATATTATAAAAACAGAAAAAATAAGCAACATCTGACAGGTGAAACTGTAATTGCAAATGCAATGCATCTTTCGGGACAAAATTTTAACTTGCATTGATTATGTAACAGCTCAGTAAGCATAAGAATTATTGTGTATACCTGATGTGCCTCTGTTTGATGAGCACTCTGGCATGGTGGATGGACTTAGCCATACCGGCCTTGAAGACAAGAGTCTGCAGGCGGCGCTCAAGAAAGTTTTCCACGGTGAGAGCTAACACATAATCGAGCTTGTTCTGACTCTCCTCCAAAAGCCCATACCTATTCATCCTCCTCAAAAGCGCCTCACCCTCGAAAATACGGCGTGGGTTCTTCTCATCAAGAGTGAGAAGCATTCTAGCAGCATTACGAATGCGACTCAATGCATACTGAACCCTCCAGAGTTCCCTCTTGGCACGGAGCCCATACTCTCCGACGAGCTTCAGCTCAGCATCCAACCGTTCCTTCTCATAAGGACGCCTTGGCTTCTTAAAAGTTTTCCCATCTATGGGAAAACAAAAAACAAAGATACTAAGCTCACTTCTGTTATTCAAATCATCAAATCAAAATTAAAATGCAAAGCCCAGATGTTAAACTCTATTGGGCACAGAGAAATGCAAGCTAAATTTCTAAATTCCAAATAAAATAATACGTATCAAATTTACAACAGAAGAGGATAGAAACTGTATTAAATAAGCTAAAACTCACAAGAACACTGCAGAAATCGAGTATAATAGAAAAAGTTAAAATACAGTGAAAAAATAGAGGAAAAAAACAATGAAAGGAGGATCGGTAGCTTACAATTGCGATAAAAAGAGACGTGCACCATCCTTGTTCGCTACCGTCTGCTACCTTATTTAGCCGTCTGCGACCTTGGTTAGGGTTTAGAGAGGAGACGAAGAAGCATAAAGCTGAATTTATATTAAGAAGATTTCTCCTCCATATGCCATGTGTCAAAACGAAAAGAAAGCCCTAACCCAATTCTTTGTGTTGTTTGGGCTGGCCCAAAGGTTAATGACCAAATTGGGCTAAGCCTGAAACCTATTTCTTTTTCAAAAGTATTTACCAAAGGTGCTATTGAAAAAAATATATATATTTTTCCGCTAAACCAAGGCCAGGCCAATCAACGAATGAAATTGGAACCACTATTTTAACCTCCATATGGAAACAAGTTTTTGCGGAAGATTTTTTACTTATGCCACATTATGATTTTGTTGGTCTCTTGGCATTGACCTATAAATTAAGGTAATTTTATATTTAAAAAGATATTTAAAAAGGTAAAAAAAGTGAATTTTTTTCAAAAAAAATTCAAAGTTATCTGGATAAACTTATTTTTATCATTACATTACCAAAAAAAAAAATAATAAAAGAGTTGGAGGGCTTATTATTCTTACTATCATTTGCATGGGAGTGTTTCTATCATTTATATGGGAGTGTTACCCAATACTGCACTTTGATTTTTAATATTTTTTTTAAAAAATTATTTTGAACTAAACTTTATTTGTGTTGCAGATTGGTCTCATGAGAAAACAAAGAAAGAGAAGGAATGAGAGAGAAAAGGCACTATCAGCCTCAATTCTGACTCTTTTTGTGACCAATCTTGTTTTTAGATTGTTTATTTTGATAAAAAAAAAAAAAAGAGTGTTTATATTGGTTTCAATTCATAAAATAATTTAATGAGAGTTTAAAAAAAATTAATTTTTCAATTTAATATTTTTAAAAAATGTGCATTGAAATTCTTTTTGAGTTCTAAACGAGTTTATTGATATTATTTAAATGATTCTAAGGCAGTTTAAAGCAAAAATTATGTTGAAAATGAGTTTCAAAGGTTTGAAACTGTACTCTCAATTTGTTAGTGACGATTCCGCAACGTTTTCAGCCAATTCAACTTCACAAAAAATTACAGGTGAAAGACATGATGCATCTTCTATTTGTTTCTTTTTCTCTTTTTCTTTTTTAAGGGTGGTGAGGGCCAGCTTCTTTGGGCCTAAGGCCATGGGCTTGCTTTGCTTCTTTTTATTATCAAGATTTTTTTTTTATAAAAACAATTTTATTATTGAATTGGGCGTGAAAAATCAATTATTATTATTTTTTTTATACAAGTTGGCGATGATATATATATATATATATATTTACTATTATTGTTTAATTTCTTCAATTTATCATTTCTTATGTAATTTTTTTTAAACTCATAATTTTTTATTTTTTATATAATTTTATTTATTAATAGATATGATTTATTTTTTTCTATTTATATATTTTCAAAAAAAAAAAAAGAATATGATTAGATTATATTTTTGAAAATATATTGATATAATTTATATAATGGAATCTCATAATTCTTAAATGAGAGTATTGAAAAGCTAAAATGTATTTCAAATAATTCGTCTCAAATTTTTTTTAAGAAAAAATTAATTAATCAATTAAAAAAATGTAATTCATGTGCTCTATTTCAATCTATTAATTTTAATATATCCGTTGCAACTTACCCGTGTGTGTGTGTGTGTGTGTGTTACACACTCTAAATCCACTAAGTATGGTCGTGGTGTAGAAAAAAATAAAATTATTAGCTTTATTATAAATTAACTATGTATTTGCATACTCAACATTAACTATTTACTATTAATTTTTTTTAATATTCTAAAACTAATTTGTTTGAAATGACATAATTAAAATAATATTCTAGGAGAATCACCCAATGATTCATATGTAGAATTTTTATATTGATATTTGTGAATAAATATATATGAATTAAATGTACATAAAAGCTAAAGTGTATTCAAATAACTCATCTCAAACTTTTTTTGTAAGAAAAAATTAATTAATCAATTAAAAAAATGAAATTCATGTGATTTATTTCAATCTATTAACTTTAATATATTTGTTACAACTTAATTGTTTGTGTGTGTGTGTGTGTCTATATATATATATATTACATACTCGAACCCACTAAATATGATCGTGGCATATAAAAAAAAAATCATTAGTTTTATTATAAATTAACTATGCATCTACATACTTAGCATCAACTACTTATTATTAATTTTTTTATAAAATATTTCGAAACCAATTTCTTTGAAATAAAATAATTAAAATAATATTCTAGGAGGATCACCCAATGATTCAAATGTAGATTTTTATATCGATATTTGTGAATAAATATATATAAATCAAATGTATATTTTTTTTAAAAAATAATTTTCTAATTGGCTAGCGTTAAACAAGAATGAAAAAAAATTATTTGTTAATTTTTATACAAATTTTTCTACTAGTTATTTTTTTTATGCAATCTTATGAAAAAAATGATTTAAAAAATGGATTAAATTTTTTATTTATATCATTGCAAGTTTTTATTTAAGAATCAATGCACAATGAAGAAAAAAAATAAAGTTTTTAAACTACACAATTTATGAAAAACATAAGAAAGAATAAATTATAAATTAGATGATTTGTTTTTTTTAATTTTTAGTTGAATACATTTTAGTTGACTCACAATATAGTAGAAGCTATAAGTCTAAAATAATTTTTTCAAATAATTTCACATGTTTTATCCGATCAATTGCGTAACGTAGGCAACCAACTAATAAATAATTAAAACAAACCATGAATGAATAGTGAAATGTGTATAGCTGAACAATGACCATGTGAACAATAAAGACTATATATTTTTTAAATTTTTACAAGTAAATTATAAATTACTCCCTCTAATTTCAAGAAACAAATTACTTAGTTCCTCTTGTTTCAAAAACTAATTATTTACTCTCTTAATCAATCTCGAATACACTTAATTTAAGATTATTTTATTTTAATATATATATAGTATCAATATTTCCATAATATCTATTTATATTTTTTTGGTAACAAAAATTAGAAAAGAATATAAAATGGACAAAAAAGATTAAATAATTAGTTTTTGAATTTGGAAGACTAATTAATTTGTTTTCAAAACTAGAGAAACTAATTCATAATTTACTATATATATTGTGTCATTGGTAAAAAAAAAAAAAAAAAATCTCAATCCACACATAAGTTTTTGGGTTAATATATTCTTTTGTCCTAATATAATAAGTAAATTTTCTAATTTGTCCCTAAAACAAAAGTCTCTAATTTGTCCTTATATTTTGAATTGGTTTCTAATCTATCATTTTAATTAAATTTTATAGCTAAATTAAGTCAAATCAAGCATGTGATTTGCGCACAATATGTGATTTGATAAAATTATCTTTATTATTTGATGATCTATCTCTACTAATATGAAGATTAATTTTTAAAAATTGATCAGTAATTTCGATCAAAAGAATAAATTAGATCGGTAATTTTGATCGAAGAATAAATTAGAAACAATCTCAAAATATAAAAACAGATTAAAAATATTTTTTTAAAGACAAATTAAAAAATTAACATATTATAACAGTTGAGACTATTAATCTTTTTTTTTTTTTTTAATAAACTTATAAAGTGAAAAAACCTTTTTTTTTTTTTTTTATAAATAATCCTTTCATCTCTATTTTCAGCATTTCATCTGTCCTAATCATTTTGTTGTTTTTGTAATTTGAAGTCATTGAAGAAGAAACCACAAAGACATAAGTTTAAAAAATTACGGTCAGTAATTTATTTTTTTAGCACACTCTTCGACCAGCAAAATATTTACTTTAGATAGGGCTAGTGGCCAGTAGGCCGTCCCCTACCTCAAAAATCACAAAACACCTTGTATGGATGGTATCGTATTCCCTTATCCAATTCCCTTCCCTCCATTATTTCAATTATTTCAACTTCTTTTCAATTTCCATTCTGTAAACTTCTTTATCTTCTTAACTAACCGCTAATGGCATCTGCAATAACACAATTAATTCTCTACTCAACATGTGACACTTCCCATCTGCAACTACGTCTCTCTTCTCCATCTCCTCTACCTTTTCTTCCTCCAACCTCTACTGCTTCTGCTGCCGGCAAAACCCGGTTCCCTATGCTGCCTCAACTTTACAGCCACCGGAATATATTAGCAGCCCCTAAAGCCAACCCTGAAAATGACGGCATTGTAGCTGCTGATAACGATGGGGAAGATGGAGTCTCTTTGGGAACCTTGAAATTGCCTGGCAATACTGATCTACAGAGATTTGAAATCTTGCTTTTCCAGGTTAATTAAATATTCGTTACTCTTTACGTAGTCCACTTCACCTTCGCTGTTTCACTGCATCCATCAAAATTAATTCCATTTTTCTTTCGTGAATGCGGTTAGCGAATAAAACAAAAAAGGAAGAAGAAGTTCAAAGATGTGAAATGGTGGTTGAGTTTTATGTATTTAATTGAATAATATATGTTTTTTTTTTAAATGGCAGTGGGCAAACAGTCTTTGCCAAGGAGCGAATCTGCCGCTTCCAGTGCCATTAAAGGTCGGTTAATATTTTTGTCCTTCATTTCTCGATTCCTAAGCTACAAGTTGAATATATGCACCACTACATAGTTTTGTGCTTAATCTCTTGATTTCTAAGCTACAAGTTGAATACATGGACAACTACCTTTGGATTTCTAAAAGGGCTCGAATGAAAAGGTTGGAGACTAGCAATATTGTAAGACTACCAGAGGTCAATATTTGCCGCTGCTGTTTGCAACTGATTTCAACTTTTAGGGTCTGGCTTTACTCATTGCTAACGCACTACAAGTTGGTAGTTATAGCTTTGTCAGATTATGGAATTTATTGTCAACTGACAGCTAGGAATGGGCTTTGTTTTGTTCGGATAAAAGACAATTCAATTGTGTTTTCAAGCTGAACTTGCATGCCACATGTATCCACTGAAAAGATCTATGTGGGCGAAAATTTTAGAATTTCTCCATATCTGCCTAGATGGCTCGTGAATTGACCTTATTCCTAACATTCTTGGCCTGAGTCCCACGTGAAGATAATATTGCCGTCTAGGTTATGACTGCTATAATCAAGCTCACTGGATTAGGATTAAGTAGAGCTTTTCATTTCAATGTCTTGCTCCTAATCTTCGGATTCATCTAGGATATAATTGTGTTCTTTAGTCTCCACTGTACTCAGACATGGAATATGAAGGAAAATCAAGAAAATGTTTCTTTTAATAGCTTAATGTTATCTACATTTGAATACATCAGGTTGATAAAATACCAGGTGGAGCTAGGCTGGGTTTCACAACAGTTGGAAATGGAAAGACTGAGGTGCTTGTGTACATAGATTGCTTGGTTTTCCCAGCTACCAGTGCTTCAGGTCCAATTTTTCGAGCCATAAGAAATGGACCATTAAAAGATGTATCACCTCCTGGTGAGCCCAGAATCATGAGGAGCCTTCTGCAAGCCCTCCAAAAATCAGTTCAAATTGCTACAGTTTGAGTAGTTTATTATTTGAGATGTAAATTTATGACACATGCTTAAACTTTTGCTTGTGCGGTGTTAAAACCAAGCACTTGTTGTTTTGACAAAAGATCCTAGTCTCTGTGTACTGTATAGTTTTTTTACCTAGAGATTAGTATGGGTTTTGTTCTCTAGGGGAAACATTTGGTTCTCTTTGTTTCAACAACAATGCTATGAGAGTTTATTGTGACAGTCAGACCTCATGTAATGTATAGTTTATTCACCAAGAATTCGGTATGAATTTTATTCTCTAGAAGAATAGTCTCAGGTTTTCACTGTTTGCATAACAATGCATGAGCCGGTGTATTGACCAGAAGTGACATCAACTCATATGATGAATGATCTACACTCTTCTTTACATAGTCGCTGGAAACCATGGAATCTAGACAATTTGTTTGTACTACTGTCTTTTATTTGCATCTCCCGATATGGAGTAGAATATAAATGCTTTTCTTCTGACATAATGAAAAAATGTCCTTACATATTCTAGGAGATTAAAACTAGGTTTCTTGTGCACAAGCATTTGTCTCATATATGATTCTTCCACGCCGGCACAACATAAATTTAAAACCCTCTTTGAACTATTTGAGAACATAATTATATATCACTTTCATGGCGGCAGTATGTTCAGCTATGAATTTACCTGAATCTCAAACTGAAATTCTCTTGCTGTTCCTTTTTCTTGTTTTGTTCTCTGTTCAGTAAGATTTGCATAGCTTTTTATCCCTGGATTGCTTATTCTGGGATTAAGATGAAAAAAATGGAGAAACAAGCAGAGGTAGAACAAAAACTTGGAAACAGAGGAGTTGATCATGAAAGAATGTCCATACATCATCAGGGAGAATAAAACTAGGTTTCCTGTGCACAAGCATTCGTCTCAATATATGATTCTTCCACGCCAGCACAAGAGAAAGTTAAAACCCTCTTTGAACTATTTGAGAACAAAATTATATATCACTTTCATGGCAGCGGTATATTCAGCTGTCTCAAACTGAATTTCTCTCACTGTTCTTTTTACTTGTTTTGTTCTCTGTTCAGTAAGATTTGTATAACTTTTTAGTCCTGGGTTGCTTATTCTGGGATTAAAATGAAAAAAATAGAGAAACAAGCAGAGGTAGAAAAAAGGCCTGGAGACGGAGGAGATGATTATGATGCTATCGTTGTGGGGTCTGGATATGGTGGTTCTGTTGCTGCTTGTCGAATGTCAATGGTGGGAATAAAGGTTTGTCTGATAGAGAAAGGCCGGAGATGGAAAGCAGAGGATTTCCCAACTGACAGCTGGAAGATTATGTCAACTGCGAGGTATGAGAACCAGAACTTAGGCATCAGTTTTGGACCAACGGATGCTTTATTTCAGGTCATTCTCTTTTCTTTCTCTTTTTGGGGGTTATGTATATTTTTTTCTGGTGCATTTCATTTGTTTAGAAGGAAAATAAAGTTACTAGGTTTAGTCTGTTAGCTTTTGAAGCCTTATGATAAACCAAGAGTTTCAAAGACATGTGACATAAGAGCTAAAGACATGACACAACAAGATTAATTTTTTGTATTAGGAAGTGAAAGAGAATTCTAAACTCATGGCCTCTAAAGCCCACTATTAAAATATTTTTACCCTTTCATTTATTGAGTTCAGTCAATCACTTACTTTACGGAGTTATAGGTATATGAACAGAAGGATTCTTTAGCAGCAGTGGCTTGTGGACTTGGTGGAGGTTCACTGGTCAATGCAGGAGTGATGCTGCCAACACCAATTCGTGCTAGAAGGAGTCCAAAATGGCCAAAGGAATGGGAAAGGGACTGGGATGATTGTGAAGCTTCTGCTGCAGCAATGCTTAGAATTCAAAGCAGTTCGGTCAAATTTCCCATAGCCAAAGTCATGGGAGAACTAGCTGAAGGAGAGTTTGAAAGAAATACTGAGAGCTCCTTAAAGCTAAGTGTGAATTTTGATGCTGAAGAACCTCCTTCCAATCCACCAAAGCTTCAGCAGATTAATAGCTGCTTTGCCTGTGGAAATTGTATTGCTGGGTGTCCTTACAATGCCAAAAATTCTACCGATAAAAATTATATTTTCTCAGCAATCCAGGCATGTTCCACTATTTCTAATATTATTTAAAATATTAGTATTTTTTTTGTCTTGAGTATTGCGTTGATATGATTCCAAACTTGAGACATCCATAACATTTTGATGGTTTCAGAATTTGTAAATGCTACGAGAAACAGTAATGTGTAAGCATATTTTGTGGTCCAACTCACATTGTATATACTTTCACAGTTCATCAGAATTTCTTCTGTGCAGGCAGGATGTACTATAAGAACAGAATGCCAAGTTCAGTATGTGATTAAGAACCCCTATGGAGTTGGCCAACAAGGCAGAATTAGCAGAAAAAGAAGATGGTGTGTTTACTTAAATGAGATTGACTACATAACCTCTGATTTTGTAATTCTGTCAGGTAGGAAAAAGTCGATACACGTTTTGGATCTAGTCAATATATTTTTATTGTTATATTTAACAATTTCAAAACTTGTTTCCCACAGCTGGAGTTTTGGGCACAACTGAGATGCTTTTCCAGTCACAGATGAGAGGATTGAGGCTTTCAGATACTCTTGGATCTGGATTCAGCTGTAATGGCAATACCATTGCTTATGTTGCTGGAAGCCCTGCACCTCTGAATGGTTATGGATTAAGCAGAAAGCAAATATCAGAGATAACTTTTCAAGATAGGCCAGGGCCATCTATCTCTTTGTCTCACACCTCTTCATTGGGTTTTACAATCCAGGTCTAAGACTAATCTCTATTTGCAAAAACTTGATCTGGTTTAACTTTAAAATGTCTTTTTATGTTTTATGCTAGAACTGGTTAAAAAAACAACATGAAAATAATGTTCTTTTAAACCGAATTGGAATTTAGGCTGATGCAGTGGTGTCTAACACGCCCATTTGCCTAGATAATCGCCTTAAGTGCTCCTTTTGAATTGACCTCGGATACTGACTGGTCCATCCTAAGAAAAGGCAGTCTGTGTGAAAAAGATACTGCACTGTTATCTATCCATGCAGTAGCTTTGACTCAAGGTAAGTTTTGGCTGAGATGGACTTAAATGAGTGCCCTTATCTTTAAGCACAAATCTGTATAATCTTCAAAAAACTGAAGGAAAACAAATACAAATATTCGAGTTGCTGATGTTCTTCCATACAAGTCTCCAACACTTATCATTTTCCTTTTCACTGCAGAGTGCTATACTTCCAAGAGCTTATCCTTACCTGTTGTTCGAAGGGATTGCAACTTATAAGTCGCCAACTGGTTACTGCTTCTTTCATGGGATTGTCGATAAGCTGAGACATATTATAGGTCTTAACTTAAGTCAATCTATCATTCTCAATGCAATGGGATATGATGAAAGTGATGGGAAAATTATGTTAGAAAAAGACACAGACAAAATCTGCTTTCATCCACCCCACGATCCTTTACTTCCACAAAAAATCAAAGCTTTTCAAAAGCTTAGCAAAAAACTTGGGGGAATCCTTTTCATGTCTAGGTACAGAAGCACAGCAGTTCATCTTTTAGGTGGTTGCAATGCATCATCAGATTCTTCAGGCGGTGTATGCAACCATAAAGGTCAGGTTTTTGACCCCAACACTCCTGCCACCCTGCATGCAGGCCTCTACGTTTGTGATGCTTCTCTAATCCCATGTTCCGTTGGCATAAACCCATCTCTTACTATTGCAACAGCCGCTGAACACACAAGCAGGTACCTTGTGCAGGACATTCTCGAGTTCAAAAGCAAAAATAGTACAAGTGTTGTACCTGCTGATCAGAATCAATGTGCTGTCACTGATAAAAGTTTAGAGAACGACCATGGAGCAACTGTTCTGATTAAAGAAACCATGAGAGGCTATGTGGGGGGCATGCCATGCACAGTTCATCTAAAAATGAAAATCCACTCACAGAATCATAAGAGCTTTGATAAACAGAATTGGTTTGTAGGAGAATCTCACCCTCTTCTGAGGGGAAAGGTTGGCGGGTATGTGGTGTTTAGAGCCATTGAAAAGGACAAATTACATGTCATAGATGGGGAAATGGATTTGTGTGTGGTAGATTGCAGAACTCCTTATGCCCAGTATATGCACTATCGTCTTCTCCTTGCAGCTTCTTCTGGTTCAAGGTGGGATGAAGTTGGAATTTCTTTACACGTACAGTCATAAATGTCCGTTCTTTTCCATTTTTCTTTTTTAAACTATACTGAACTCATGAAATATACTTCTGATATACTTTGATGCAGATATATTCTCGAGGGAAAGAAAATAATGAATCCTTACTACTTTGCATTATATGCTTGGAGGGAGACAACAACACTGTATGTAACATTTAATAAGGTTGCTCCGAGTGGCTCAATAGACACACTGCTGAATCTGAAAGGAGAGCTTACAGTTTCCTTCATAGACCTTCTGAAGTGCTTTATAAGCCTCAAAGGAAACGGGAGAGGAAGATTCATGCATCTTCTCTTACAGACTTTCTTAAGGACTTACATCTTACAAATGCCACGAGGGACCCACAAGAACTTCATCGCAACAGATTCATACAATAAGAGTTATCCAAGCAGCACTATCAATGACATAAGAACAGGTATTCAGAAATTAGAAGTCTTACAAGGAAGAAGCATAATAAGATCACTAGGAGTCAATTAAACTTTCAACACTATGAACTATGTTGCTTCATGATTTATAAACTAATCAAAAAGCAACATGAATGGGACAGTGACCTCTTATACATATCATTTTCTCAGCTTGAATTGCTACATATATAATGATGTTGGTTTCAATATCATGCAGAAGATGGATATATCATTAGATGCAGGCAGTGGAAAAATGCTAGATATTCCTTGTTGCTTAACAGAGAGAGACTGCTAAATCCTATTCTCCTTCTCAATGGTTATTCTACTGAGAATTACTGGCTACCAACAGAACCACATGATTTAGTCAGAACTTTGTTGGAAGAAGGGCTTGAAGTTTGGCTATTGCAGACTAGATTGCACCCTCTGAATCCTGCAAACGATGCTACTATTGAAGATATTGGAAAATATGATATCCCTGCTGGTATAGAAAATGCAAATGAATTTTACATGAATCTTGATTCTTATTTATTACTTTCCGCATTAATGAGCATTTTCTGACCTTTATATATGCAGCAATTGGTAAGATCCTTGAAGTTCATGGGCCCCGCACAAAGATACATGTAGTGGCACACTGTGTTGGAGGCTTGGCCATTCATATAGCTCTCATGGGAGGGCATATCTCTGCAACTCACATAGCTTCTCTGTCGTGTACCAATTCTTCAATGTTCTTCAAGCTTACGTCATTAGCCACAATCAAAATGTGGCTTCCCCTGGTCCCAGTAAGCTCTTCAACTCTGATTGCTTCCAATTATGTGATTTCTTTGATTTTACTGCCAAAAGTAATTATGATCTGCACATAGTATTGGGTGGAATTTACTATTTACAGTGTGAATAAACGAAAACTTAACGTTGGAACTACAATATCTATTTGAACAAATTAAGATGCATGTTCTTTACTTCTCTAGTCGATATCCATTCATGATTAAGAACATCACAGTATAAATTATATTGTTAAATTATTGCAATTAGTGGATCTTTCTTTTTTCTTTATTACTAACGATAGATATGTTTTCATTTATGAAAACCGGCTTGATAGGTTTGGCTTCTTATATTCTTCAATTATTTGTGTTTAGTGGATAGACAGAGTAGATTATGTTTACTATTTAGCTACTAAACTGTTGGATATAAGAGAGACAATTTTCAGGACAGGGAAGTATATCATGCTAATAACCACACCTTGATTGACCCAATAGAGCTTTAAATAATTTCTTTAGGGTTCAACAAGTTCATACCAGTCTTTTCCTTCTTGAGTTTCAGACTCTTATTTAACTGAACTCAATCTGCAGATATCAATGGCTCTACTAGGCAAGAAGAAAGTTCTACACCTTTTGGAAAAATCAAAGGGAAGTTCTCGACACAGGCTTTTGAAATACATAGCTCAGTGTTTACCACGATATGAGAGATGCACATCCAAGGAGTGCGAGGTCTTCTCTGGAATATTTGGAAACACATTCTGGCATGAAAATGTAGGTCCTGCGATGCACCACTGGTTGAATAAGCAAAGCTCAACAAAGCTTCCCATGTCCGCATTTCCTCACCTCAGAAAAATCTGCAACTCTGGATATATTGTAGACAGTAATGGTCACAACTCATTCTTGATCCATCCAGAGAGAATGGCAATCTCAACGCTATATATTTCCGGCGGACGTAGTCTCCTTGTGACCCCAGAGACCTCTTACCTTGCTAATAAGTACATGAAGTTGCACCAACCTGGTTTTAGACATGAAAGGGCAGTCGTGGATGGTTTTGGACATTCAGATTTATTGATTGGAGAGAAGTCTCGTGAGAAGGTTTTTCCGCACATTGTATCTCATATAAGATTAGCCGAACAAGAAGGAAATGATTTGACGAATTCTCCAAGAAAGAAGTACAGCAAAGCGGCTTTGGACTGGGGTGATGATCCTTACAAAGAATATGGGGACTCTGGTTGTTGGTTTTCCGCATTGGCGATTATTTTGTTGGTCTTGTTATTACATGTGTTGTTTTTTTACTGTTAATGTGATTTTGAAGCTGTAAGAGGAAAAGAATGGATTGGCTAATTTCAAAAAGGATTAGGATTATTTTGTAGCGGAGAGGAAACTCCATCTGCAATTGTGTATCATATTACAATGTTTCTGTACATGTATATATATATAGTCAGCTTTACATATGTAAAAAGAAAGAACTCAGCCTATAAAGTATTAGACCATTGCACCAAAAAAAGTATCCTAATTATAATAAATCTGTCTTCAAAGGACACACGATATGTGTTAAGATTCTTTCCACTTAATTAGCCAATCCATGTGCTTGCAGTTGGCTCAGGGTATTCATCAAGCATATTGATGAATATGGAGCAATTATCGGGGCAATAATAGTGTTTTAGAAGATGTATTTTACCTGTGATTCTTGCATTTTCTTCTTTTTGTAGTATTTTTTTGGAATTCAGTGAATAATAATAATAATAAAAAAGACTCTAAATTCTGTAGAAAAAAGTAAAGAAAACATTAAATTTCAAACATGCTTTGGGGTAGGCATTCTAAAATACAAAATTTTGTTCTAGATCGATTTAGGGTTACTCGTAGTCCTGTTCCAAACAATGACAAATATTTTCATCTCCCTCAGCCTTTCCCTAATCATTTCACTCCTGCCATCCGAAGACCATAGTTCCATGACAAAATCAAAGAAACCTGTGACTGTGAAACAAACGTTTTGGATCCAATTGATAGAAGTTTTTTGTTTTGGGACTCAATTGATGAATGGGTAATAAAATATAAACTAATTTGAAGTTTCCCCAAAAATTTACAAGTTCTCTCGACTCCTCGGCAGCGTTATGTTTTGTCTCTTTATGGTTGGAGATGCTGGATTTCTTTATACTAGATTCCACCGCTGCCTAACCTGCCCAACTTCATTTTTACATAAACAAGAAACAAATATAGAAGGTAAAAAAAAAAAAAAAGAAGAAGAAGGTATCCATACTATCTCAAATCGCCAAACCCATCTCTCTCTCTCTCTCAATCTTTTTTATTGCTGTGTAATTTGGTCATCCAAGGATAACACACCGATGTCTACTTTCTCTCTTTACTCTCATCATCATCATTTTTTTCTTCTCCAAAACTTAATTCCTCGAAAACCTTGTCTCTCTCACATGGAAATCCAAGACTCGTCTTCTTATCTCCCAAACACAACTCTTCATCTCGACTTCTCTGCTCTTCTCCTATTAACTCCTCCGATTCTACTCCTTCCAATGATAACTCTTCCAGGTTTATTTCGTTTCTCTTGTTATTGTATTCTAAACGCCTTTTATTGGTTAATTTTTTTTACAGTGATCTTTGGAGGAAAAAAAAAAAACAGTTATTCACGCTGTTAGAATTAAGCGGCTTTCGCTAAATTGTTTGCTAATGTCATTTTCTTGTTTCTTGCAGCAACTTTTGCATTATAGAAGGGCCAGAGACGGTTCAGGATTTTGTTCAAATGCAGTTGCAAGAAATTCAGGACAACATAAGGAGCAGGCGTAATAAGATTTTTCTACTCATGGAAGAGGTTTTTTTCCCCCCTTTAATTCTTCTTTTTTATGGATTTTTTCATTTAAATTCTGATTTTTTTGTCCTGAATGGAAGTACTTTGTCTTCTGGGTTTGGTTTATTTGAATACTTTGTGTACTGTAGTTATTTTGTGGTGTAAATTTGATTTCGATAGGTAAGGAGATTAAGGGTACAACAGCGAATAAAGGAGCTGAAAGTTGTCGATGAGAGTGGCGAGGAAGATGCAGATGAGATGCCTGAGATGCCGTCATCAATTCCTTTTCTTCCCCATGTGGTCAGTTTCAAACAAGTTCTGTCCTTCAGCTATGAATATTCACTTGATAAAGGAACCATATACTCATAATAGCAACCCTATTAGATGCGCGCAAATGATAAGTGTTGTATCTCCTAATATTTTCCTTAGAGAAGAGAACAACCAGGTGTTTGTATTTTAATCGATTTCCACTCTTAGTAAAGAATTGTTTTTGTGATTTTTGGCTAACTACTGGCATTTTTGTTTTGAAGTAGACACCGAAGACATTGAGGCAGCTTTACCTGACAAGCTTCTCTTTTGTATCAGGGGTTATCATATTTGGTGGCCTTATTGCTCCAACAGTAAGCTCTCTCTCTTGAAAACATGAATATTAGCAGTAAACAATTGCTTAATATTTATTGGTTCTGATCATGTTTTGCACCATGGATGCCTTACACATGGAGCCCTTTTATTCCCATTTACACCTTGAGATATTTTCCCCTTTGTTCATCTGTATATGTGGCTCAGGCAAACATGGAAAAGAAACTTTCTTCTTTCATGATTACCTATATTCCCACATAGTTAGAATAGCTTGAAGATTGTTCTGGTGCATATGGGTGTAATTGTGAATGTGAGATGGGAGCAAGACGTGTGTTGTAGCAAGTCATTTAAGTGTGTGGTTAAGTCCTGCAGCAAGCATCTATTAAGTTTAGATGGTAGGCTTAAAGGAAGAAATAAAATCTAAAGAGCTGACTCATGGTGCAGTCTCGTAGTATACTGAAGAACCTTAAAATCTCTGCAATGATCATCTCTAAGATGGCATTATAAGAAAAGGCTTGTGTACAAATATTCAATTAGCTAGGACTGTTGCTGTTGATTACAGAATAGATAAAAATTAGAAGCTGACATTAACATATAGTTGTATGGTTTGGGTGTTGCATACCCGATGCGTGCTGTAAGTAATTAATACAAAGTTAAAGGTAGATGAGAATTTGGAGAGAATGATAGCAGGTTGATTTTTGACCAAAAACAATGCTAATCGGCTAGAATGCCTGGTTTGGACTGGAAAATTGCCTTCTCTTTTATTCTTACCCATCCTAACTAATTGGCTAAACGAAGTCTGGTGTTATGTCGCATGTGGATGGTTATTTACGTATACTTATAGTTCTATATGTTTTGCAAGCTTCTAGACTGAATTTTGAATTGTTTTGATGTCTTCCAAATTCTTAACAAAGACTTGTTTGTGCTAAAATATGTTTCATGGCAGTTGGAACTAAAATTAGGTCTTGGGGGCACCTCATACGAGGATTTCATACGCAGCATGCATTTGCCATTGCAGTTGAGGTAGCATTTCTATATTGGAAATTTAAAACCTGATGCAAGCAAAACTTTTAGTGTCAGTCAGCTACATGTTTGTTTTGATAAAAATCCTGGGATCACACTCGTAACTTCTTGATTTCTAAATTTAGTCAGGTCGATCCAATTGTGGCCTCGTTTGCAGGTGGGGCTGTGGGTGTCATTTCAGCCTTGATGTTAATTGAAGCTAACAATGTTGAGCAACAAGAGAAGAAAAGGTGTAAATATTGCCATGGAACTGGTATGTATCAAATTGTTATTAGGGTATGTTCTTCGTGGCCATAGAATTTGGTTTGCCTCTGCCGCATTTAATAGTTCCTGGTTTCTGTTAACATATGAATAAGGGGTAAAGTAAAGGTATGAAAACTATAGCAGTGATACAAACAGATCAAAATTGTACCCGCTTGAGTTAGACCAGAATCCGTTGTGGTGAATAGTATTCAGATGATATATTTTTGGTTTGTTGTAGTGTTTTTTCAATGGCACAATTCAATAGTCAATTATCTTAATTGTTGAAAGAATTTCCCCAAAGAAGAGGGGAGACAAGAAAAGGTCTTTTTATTTCCTGCTTTCTTTTGTAGTTGTTTTTTTAATTATCATTCTGTGAACAGGATATTTGGCCTGTGCTCGGTGTTCTGCAAGTGGTGTTTGCTTGAGCATTGATCCCATTTCACTGTCTAGTGCTTCAGATCGTCCATTACGAGCGCCGACTACTCAAAGGTGTCCAAACTGCTCTGGTGCAGGGAAGGTAAGGAATTCTGTAGAAAAGAGCAACTTATAAATGGAATAGTTAGTGGGATTTTTAAGTTTAAATGCTGCAATTCGTCAAACTTACTCTTGAATACATTAGCAATTGTTGTTGATGCTTTTATGCTATATTTTGCATAAGATTTCTCCTTAGAAATTATCCATTGCATTCACCTTCTAATTTCTTCCGTATGGCTTGCTCATACTAAGCTGAACAAGGAAAGAGATTGCCACTAAACACAGATTGCGAATTGAATTATCATTTTTGGGTATGGTTGCCTTTCCATCTGTTGCCAATGTTAGCCACAGACGGGTACAACTGCACAGTTACATGTTACCGATTCTCTATTTGTATATGAATGAGCACATAATGTGTCACAACTGCTGTTAGCTGTTAGTTTGATCTGTTATGATTTCACCTTTTCCTCATTCCACCCCCTCCTCTCCACCAAACTAAATTTATTTTATTTTTACCAAGTTTGCTGTGTCTAATCGTTTCCTATATTACTCTAGGTTATGTGCCCTACATGCCTGTGCACTGGAGTGATGATGGCAAGTGAACATGATCCACGATTTGATCCATTTGATTAAGGGTGACCAAAAACTTAATTCGTCGAAATGGATAATTAATTTTCTAGCTTGTTTATATGTTTGTTTATGAAAAGATTTACATAAAACCAAGTTGCTTGGGGCAAACATTTTTTTCTTAGAGACAAATGCACCATTGAGAAAGGTGCCAACAGGGTCCAACGCCCAAATCGCCATTATGTAAGAAGCCGACCATATGGCCGTGGAGAAACTTGTTTGGGTAATAATTCTTTATAGATTATCTTTTTTCAACATAACAGAATTGTCCTTTGGTTCTTGTGTGAATGTAATAGACGCATACCATTGTGGAAGAAATTTAGCTGTTTTGGTGCATTTCTATTGTTGTTTGGTGGGTAATTAACATACGATTTGACATAACAAAGACTCATTTGCTATTCATGGAGCAAGATTCAAATGGTCAGTGGAGGACGCTACTTATTATTGGGATTTGAAGTTTGAAGTTCCAACCTCCCTCCCTCCCTAGTACCATTTTAGATTGAGCCAAAATCATCATGTGGTTGGCTGCACTACCAAGTAAAAAATGGATATCTTTGGTTATTTTCGAATCAATTGAGAAAAAGAATTAGGCGATTTTAATGTTGTAATTCTTATATAGATCTCGTGCTCGAGTTTAAATTAAAAAAGAAAGTTAAACTTCTTTTTAACATCATACCTTGAGGTTACTTCTATTGTTATTTGAGCATCTGTAGCCTTTCATTTGTGTTGGGCACTTCAGGAAATTCACGCAAGGCCAAAGGTCATCATTCTATTCTATTCTCATTTTTACAACATCGTCTATTTGTTCTCTGTTTTGTCCCACGTACCAGTAGGATTCCAAACGAACTCTGACCTCGACGCACCAGAAACAAAAACAAGAAAAGAAACGACCTCAGATTCGGGATTCATGGCTACTCTTAAGAGCAAAAAACCGTGTCTAAACCTCGTAACTCGATTCCTTAACTCTCGAACTCCATCTTTCCCTTGCGCGAACACCCGCACAATCCAAACCCTGGCTTTCGAAGAGATCCATTCTTCGCCCAACAAACCCTACACATCCACAGCGTTCATTCTCCATGGCCTCTTAGGTTCTGGTCGCAACTGGCGTTCCTTTTCTCGCAATCTAGCTTCCTCTCTTTCTGGTACACACCATCAATCTTTACTTCCCCTTTTTCTTTTTCTATTTTATAGATTCTTGATTTTGTTTTGGTTGTTTATAGATTGGAGGATGGTGCTTGTGGATTTGAGGAACCATGGCAGATCTGCTGATATAGAGGGATTAGACCCACCTCACAATATGTTTAATGCGGCTATGGATGTGGCTAATTTGGTGAAGGGGAGAGGTTGGGATTGGCCTGATGTTGTTATTGGTCATTCTATGGGAGGCAAAGTTGCTTTGCAGTTTGCTGAGAGCTGTGCTCGTGGTGATTATGGTGACTCTGTTGCTTTGCCTAAACAGGTACTCTTTTTTGTTGGAAGACTGATCAGTGTCTTATTTATTGATTTAAACAAGGGGAGGGGGAAGAAGAGGAATTGGTGTGGTTTTCGTCTTTTGGTGGAAAATGGAAGTGGGTGTTTGATTGTTATTATTGCGATATGAATTGATGAGTTATTGTTGTTTTGCATCAATTTCTCGATAATTGGCTGCAGTTTAAGCTACATCTTGAAATATAACTTTAATCAACGTAAATTCTTGAAGAGAATTGCTATTTTAGTAGGGTCTTAGATAAAGGCTTGTGTCCTGAATAATGTAATGACTTCAATAGTTGACAGTTTGTTTTAACAATTATTTCTGCTCTTTAGGTTGATCCTGTGAAGAGATTTTGAATGATGGCATTTACTTTTGCTCATGTAGTAATTTTATCCTGTCATTGGTAAAGAAATGTGTGTTCTGTATGTCTTAAATTGGCCAGTTAAGCATCTGTATCTTTCTGGGTATCTTTGATATTTCTTGTTGTATTTGAGCATGACTTAATCTCTGTGCTTTTATGCTTCATTCCCTGGTGCAGAACAGCTGTGGGTACTGGATTCTGTCCCTGTAGAAGTAAGTCCTGACTATAGTGACGGAGAAGTTGAGAAAGTTTTGAAGACCTTGCATGGTTTACCTTCACCAATCCCATCACGAAGGTAAATCTTCTCACATATTATTGATCTGACATTTTATTTTTGTTTTTGGTTTTATATGCCTGGTTGCTGCAGTTTATGGGCCTAGTATCACCTAGTTTAAGAAATATAGATGCAGACGTCGTTATAGTTGTTTTCGGCACTATATTAATATTTTGTAATCCAGTTTCCCAATTGAGGACTAATCTCATATATTTTTAGGGTGGAATTTAAAGTGCTTAATCTTCTTCACAAATAGAACCTGGCAGAGAAATGAGTGCTTGTGCTGCCCTTGTGTACTCAATATTGTGATATAGACCATTATTTAAAGCCTAGAATGACTCTATACCTTTTGGAGCTCCCAATTCACATTGGAGCTGATATATAAGGACCATCGTCTCTATATGAAAGTGAACTCCATTAGAAGTGCAGAATTCACAAAATCAAACAGTGGAATGGAAGTTCATCAATTTTATTCTCTTTTCCACTTTTTAACCTATGTTGATGGAAATGGAATGTTGGACATTTAGCATGAGATTGTGTGGTCAAGCATTGTTTGAAGCTTTCAGCTAAGCTCAAAATCTTTCATTTCCTTATCTTTTATGATATGTGGATCAAATGCAAGTTATCGTATTTCATGAAATGGATTTTCTATTAGAAAATATCAAATGGAATGGTAAATCAATTTATATCAATCATGAAAGATCAGCAAGCAGATACAGGAGTATATTATGCTATAGGTTCAGTGTCTCTGTGGCTCCCAGTAGTTTCATGGTGTAAATTAATTTTGTTTTTGGATGATTATGATTTCAGCTGGCTTGTGAACCACATGATTCAACTTGGTTTCTCAAAATCATTATCAGAATGGATTGGAAGCAACCTCAAGAAATCTGGAGGACAAGAGACATGGGCTTTTAATCTTGATGGTGCTGTCCAGATGTTCAACTCTTACAGGTCAACTTGTAATTACTTTATGGAGTCAATCAACTTAAATGTCTTCGTTAACAGAATATATAAATGATATTGATGATCTAAATAGTGAATGCTAAATTCTGTAGGGAGACGTCATATTGGTCTCTGTTGGAACACCCACCAAAAGGAATGGAGATTGAAGTTGTGGTTGCCGAGAAGAGTGACCGTTGGGATCCAGATCTAATTCAGCAACTTGAAAGCCTTTCCAATCGGACTGGAGATGAATCTGAGGGGAAGTTCTCGCTTCATGTACTTCCAAATTCAGGGCACTGGGTTCATGTGGACAATCCAAAGGGGCTTCTTGACCTTGTGACTCCCAGGATTGTTTCCCTTTCAACATAATTGTATGGATTTTAAGCTGAAACTTATAAGACCCGGATTTGCTACAACATTAGATCAAATTACCAGTACTCCATATCATTCGTAGTACTGTTTTTTTTCCCACAGATGTAATGCAACAGGTTGATTTTTTCTTGTCATGCTTGAATAATATGAATAATTGATCTTTTCTTGATAAGTAAATGTTTTCGAATGGTTTAACTCCATAATATTTACTCTTCAGCACAAGGAAATGCCAAATTTCTTTCTTCTTTTTTGGCAAATGTTATTCGATCTTTTGTGCGTGCACGTATTTATGATTTACAGAGTCTTGTCGTGGACTTTTAAATGAGCCGGTTCACCAGACTATCAGCTTTGCTAATTTACAAAGAGAGTTTTCAAAACAAGCTTAAGTAAACGTGAATTACCAAACCGAGGATGAGCTTGAGCAAGTTTTTGATGGGCGGCCTCGGCAGTATATTTTATTTGAGATGATTGTTTGATATCCAAATGTACAAGTACAAAATCCTGACTATCTTGTGAGTTAAGAGCTTGATCCGTGACTTAGTTGCGTGACACGCATGTAGCACTCTTCCATTCTAAATAAAGTTCTTGAGAAAAAATTGAAGGAATTTGTCATTGCCACAACATTTGCGTTTTGCCCCAGCATCCCTTGATTCTTTAGTACGATTTGAGCATCTAGATTGAACGGCAAGTTCATAAACCCCAATTGCTCCGTTAGGCTTCCCACTTAAAGAGAAATTTTTTTATTAGGATGAGAAGTTTAATGAAGCCTAACAAAAAACAGTCTGTTACTTTTTTTATATAGCTTGAGGCACTAAAATTCAAAATAAATAAATCAAAATCAAAAGTTAAATGGGATTTTATAAAAAAAATTAGGTGTTTTTTTTTTTTATAGCTTTGTGGAAGCTCTCAATGAAAAAAGAATTAATTACGTATTCTTGAGGTTGATAGCATTGACATCGTTGACAATGGGACACTTTTTTATCAAAAAAATATTTTTTATGTCGACCTCAATTAAAAAAATCAATAAAAAAATAATTAAATATTAGTCTGCCTAACTTCTAGATTTGAAGGTAAATCAATCAAATTAATTATTTTTAAATGTACTATTACTTATTCTAATGATGTTTTCGGTATTTTCTTTTAGCATAAAGTCAAACTAAAGGAATCATAGGGAGTTTGCAAATCCTTATAAGAGGTTTGCAATCTGCCCAAGCTTGTGGGTTACAAGTTTGCAAGGAAAATTATTCGCAATAGCTATTTTGGACTAGTCATTCAAACTCCAAGCTAATTTACAATCAATATAACAAATTCAAACAAAAATTGAAAGATTAAACAATTTAAATGTTGGAAAAAAAGGGTTGTAATATTAACGATAACTCAAAAACTACAAACTTAAAATTCTTAATAATACATGAATCGAAATCACAATATTACAATCTTTTTAATGCTCGATCCGAAAGAAAATGACTTACATTCATTGAAAATTATGAATATTTATAAATTGACACTCCAAACATAACATTTTTATAGAAACTAAAAATCACAATTGTTGCAAACACAAAATGAGAATCGAAATCAACTATCTACAAATTATCGACCTATTTGACTACTACCTAATAGTTATAGCTCGATCACCTTTAAATTCGTTAAAACTTGGATAAACGCTTTGTGAGTTGTTTGTAATTTATAAGTTGAGTTTGTTTGTATGTTGTTCATGTCTATTTTCCTTCTCATATGGCTTGTATCTATAAGCTTCTTGTTTCTCCATATTCTTCTGTTTTTTTTGGTCATGTATCTTGTACCATGCCATGTTCTTCTTCGATTTTCTATTCTTGCATTGGAATGTTCTACATTTTTTGTAGTTGTTTTGCTACTCTTATGTTGCAATATATCAAATTTCTTATAACTCGTCCGGATCATATCTTTATTGGTGCTAAATTTCGATACTTTTATGTTAATTACTTGTTGATTGGTTTTCTTGTTAACTAGGATTGTCTTTACATGTATCTACTTATGATTCAATCTTGTTAAAAGTCCATTTCTTATAAAATTTCTTGATTTCACCATTGCAAGTTCTCCTAGTATGTTTCTTCTAGATCATACTTTTAGGACACGGACTAACTAGGTGTTGGGCCTTAAACCGAATAGTGATCTGGTTAGAAAATAAGATTAGGTGAAGCTAATAAAAAAGGAGGTTAAGAGGACACCTTAAAAGAAGAATCCATTGGATGTTTTCTTCTAATTAATTGGACTATCAAGCCCATGTCAATTTTTGGTATAACAATATGGTGACAATTAATTGTTGAAATTTACAAGGATTTCACTGGACCAATAGAGGTTAATTTTTGTAGGAAAGCGAGACTTGAAGATGGCAAGTGATTATAACAAGTGCGAAAGGTCCGTTTCTCTCTTTATGAGTTACCGATTATTATTTTTATATGTTAATGTGAAAAGTTAGAGTTTTTAATTTGTTGTTTTATGAATATTATGAGTGAAAGGTTTAATTGATTCATTATGTGGTTTGTCTTGTTTTTATGTTTTTAGATTCCACTCTTCTTTTAGTGTTGACACTCGGGGGATGAAAACAAGGTCCTAGCCCCAATATTCCTTTATATTTGTTCTCTATTTTTATAATTTTTTGTTTAATCTCTTAGTTAACGAGTGCTCTTCATTAACTTGCAAATGAATTTCTTGGGTGGTGTACTGCTTGTTTGCATATATAAATATTTGTATCTATGTGACATAAACTATAGTATCTTGCTCTATATTTCATTCTTAGGTTGCTAGCTAGGTGTTAAACATACATGATAATTTATTTATTTTTGGAATAATTACAAGAGGAAGAAAACAAATAAGGAAATGGTGATGTCTTTATAGTAAGTTTACTAATGAGGTTTTGATCCTCGGATTAAGATTGATAGTTGGATGGCTTCCAGTTTAGGTTGATTGTTTGGTTGACATGAAGTACCAGCAAAACAAGTCTTCTTTTCACTACCAAAAATAATTCAATTAGCAACGGACTTTTAGTGACGATTCTAACAACCATTGCTAAAAAAATGAAATAGCAATGAAATTAAGCAATCCATATCTATTTGTGTTAAAAAAAATAGTGAGGGATATATAATACTGTCACTAAATTGGTCAAATAAGATTGTTTTTAGTGATGGTTTGTTAAATATCGTCGCTAATTGAGAAAATTAGCAAGGGTTTAAAAAAACCCTCGCTAAAAATTCCTTTTAATGATTGAATTTAGCTTTTTAACGATCGAATTTCATGATGGTATGAGAAATAGCATCACTAAAACCTTTTTGCAAGAAATGTTAGGAAGTTAGGTTTAACGACGATTTTTTTCCTTTAAATCGTCGCTAAACAACTAATTTAGCGACAGTTTATAAAAATCATCGCTAAGTTTTTTCATGTTGGGAGGAAACAAAAAGTTCAAAAATATATATATTTTAGTGACGGTTTTTTTCCTCAAATCATTGCTAAATACTTATATTAGCAATGGTTTTTTAAAAACCCTATCTAATTTGTTACCATTGGGGGAACGAAACTTCTAAAAAAATATATAATTAGCCACAAAAACAAAACCGTTGTTAAAACTAGAATCCCTAAATACCCGATTGCCCAAAATTTTTCCCCATTTTCTTTTCTTCTTCTTCTTTCTAGTGTTCTTTTTGCCACTTCTCCTTCCCCATTTCTTCTCCAAGCTCCCCTTTTCTCTTCTTTTTCTTCTTCCCCTCCATCTCTTCCCTTTTCCTCTTCTTTTTTCTTCTTCTTTCTCTCATTTCCTCCTCCTTCTCCCTTCACTCCTCTTCTTCATGAACAATGCCACAACACTAGCTCCTCCTCCTTGGTAGCAACAACTTCTCCTTTTTGGTAGTAGCTCGTCCTTCTCTACTCCTTTAATTATGGTAACCCATTAAGTTCTTAGTTTTTTTTTATTTTTTTCATTTTTTTCAATAATTTAATATTGTTGTTTAATAATTTAATTTTTAATTATTGCTATTTAATTATTTATTGGTTAATTTTTAGTTAGATTAATTTATTTTGTTGTTATAAGTATTTGTCATTTATTAATTAATTTAATTTTTTGTTAAAATAATTATTTAAGTGTTAGTTTAATAAATTATCTCGTTAAATAATTTTGATTTAGTTGTTAATTAAATTAATTTTAGCTATTTTTATTTGAATAATTTAATTGTTAATTATTGTGGTTTAATTATTTATTAGTTAATTATTAGTTAGTTTAATTTATTTTCTTGCTATAATATTTTTTATTTGTTAATTAATTTAATTTTTTTTAACATAGTTATTTAAGTGTTATTTTAAATAAATTATGTGTTAAATAATTTTGATTTAGTAGTTAATTAAATTAATTTTATTTATGGTATTTAAATAATTTAATTTTTTTCAAAAACATTTCATGAGTGTTAGCTTAATTAATTAATTAGTTAATTAATTGTTAATTAAGTGATTTACATGTTAATAACATTAATTTAGTTTGTGGTAAAATAAATTATTTAATTGTTTGTTAGTTTAATTATATAGGTGTTAATTAAATTTTCTATTTGTTAAATTAAGTAAATTAATAAGTTGTTAATAAAAATTTTAAAATAATTAATTAGGTAGTTAATTAAGTAAATTAGTTTACAATTAAATTGTTTAAATATTGTATAAAATATAGAATTACGTGTTACTTTAATTTATTTGTTTGTTAATTAAGCTTTTTTAGTTGTTAATTAAGTCAGTTACTTTATAATTAAATTATTTAAATTGTGTTTAAAATAATTAATTAGGTACTTAAATAAGAAAAACAAGTTTATAATTAAATTATTAAAATTTAGTTTAATATATAAAATTACGTGTTAGTTTCATTAATTTGGTTGTTAATTTAGTTTTTTAATTGTTAAATGAAGTCCATTAGTTGGTAATTAAATTATTAAATTATTGTTTAAAAGAATTAATTAGTTAGTTAATTAAGTAAATTAGTTTATAATTAAATAATTAAATTTTTATTTAAAATATAAAATTACATGTTAATTTAATTAATTTGGTTGTTAGTTTAGTTTTTAAATTGTTAAATTAAGTCAATCAGTTTGTAATTAAATTATTAAATTATTTATTTAAAATTAGGTAGTTAAATAAGAAAAAAAAGAGTTTATAATGGAATTAGTAAAATTTAATTTAAAATATAAAATTATGTGTTAGTTTCATTAATTTGGTTGTTAATTTAGTTATTTAATTTTTAAATTAAGTCCATTAGTTGGTAATTTAATTATTAAATTATTGTTTAAAAGAATTAATTAGGTAGTTAATTAATTAAATTATTAATTTTTAAAAAAATATATAAATTATGCGTTAGTTTAATTAATTTGGTTGTTAATTTAGTTTTTAAATTGTTAAATTAAGTCAATTAGTTTGTAATTAAATTATTAAATTATTATTTAAAAGAATTAACAAGGAAGTTAATTAAAATATTTATTAAGTTGTTAAATAAGTTATTAATTTTTTAATTGAAGTAAATTAGTTGTTTAGTAAATTAGTTATATTTATTTTAAAATGAATTTGAATCATTCATGAATTGACTATAATTGACTATAGAGTAACCAATGGTATTTTAAATCAACGTTTCGTAGATGGGATATATATATGGATTTGTTTAGTAAATAAGTTAATTAAAATATATATAGATGGGATATAAATCCCCATGTTAGTTTTTAATTAGTCAAGACTCAAGAGTGCCGATTCAGAGAATTTGAGCTTGCATCCCGGGACTGTTGTATTTCTAGTAAAACCCTACCTTGATGAGCAAGCAACTAACGCAACAATGATTTGTAGAGTTAAAAACCCTAAGTCCTTAATAAAGAGAGATCAAGTGAAAGAGGAAGCAAAGCAAAGATGAGGGCCAATCTTGAGCCTACCTTGTTAGAGTTAGCTCGCAAATACCGTCAATGCAAGTTGATTTGCCGCAGGTATGCCTTTAGTTATTCTTATTCTTTTTCATGTTTATTTTTTTAATATATAATAGCCTTCTTAATTTTCATGTGTTCCTATCTCTATCTTTTAATGTTATATACACTGATTGAGCATTTTTTTTTTTTCATAATCAATATTGGGATTTTTTCAGATGCCATGCTCGTCTACCTCCTAGATCAAAGAACTGCAGGAAAAAAAAGTGTGGTCATAGCAACCAGGTCTTTTCCTTATTAAATTTAACCATTATTTTTATTTGAGTTTCACTTGTTTTTTTTTTCACTGTGTTGTTAATTATAATAAATTATGAATATGCAGCTGAGGGCGAAGAAGATGCCACAGAAGGATTAATCATTTAATCCTCCGTTGGAGGATTACATTTTATTCCCATATTTATTGTTTCTGTTTTTATTTTGTTTTTTTCTTTATTGAGACAGTATCTTAGCAGTATTAAATATTCACAACTTGGCTTTAAGCTAATTAAAAGTGAATCTTTCATTTTATATTTGTCATAAGTACTTATATATATATTTCTGCAATTCATTTCTTTTAGTATTTCTTTTCATTATTCTAATCTATAGGTCAGTTTTGAATTTTAGAAACATAATAAATTTAATGGGCAAGTAATGCTATTATTATTTTTATTTTTTTAATTAAGTCGAGGCAATTAGGGTATAGATTAATGCAGGTTGCAAATTGAGCTTGCGAACTTGGGACCTCTTCATTGGACTTCCTAGAAATCCAATCAGTGTGAAAAGGCCCATATTAGCCCATGTCATGCTCATCTTCTTGCCGTCAGTCTCTCTAAAACAAAACCCAACCCTAGTTGAACAGGTTATAAAACCCTAAATAAAACCGCCGTTCTCATACTCAAGAGCGAGAGATAGAGAGAAAGTAAAGATGCAGATCTTTGTGAAAACCCTAACTGGTAAGACCATTACTCTCGAGGTAGAGAGCAGTGATACCATCGATAATGTCAAGGCCAAAATTCAAGACAAGGAAGGTACAACACTTGTTTCCCTTAGAGTCTCTGTTTTTTATTTTTCTTTGATATCTAAATAACTGTAATGTTAAGTTGGTGTTTTTTTGTTGGAAAAGGGATTCCACCGGATCAGCAAAGGTTGATTTTTGCTGGAAAGCAGCTGGAAGATGGCAGGACTTTGGCTGATTACAATATTCAGAAAGGTTGCTCTTCTTCTTCTTTTTTTTGAAATGACTGTTAGTTTGATATGTTAAATTGGCTTTTTGGGTTTTTTATTATGTGAAATAATAATTGATTGGTTTTGGTTTGTGTTTTCATTCAGAGTCAACACTTCATTTAGTGTTGAGGCTTAGAGGAGGAATTATTGAACCTTCTTTGATGGCTTTAGCGCGCAAATACAATCAAGAGAAGATGATTTGCCGCAAGTATGTTTGTTTTCCTCCCTTTTTAATTTTCTTATAAAGTTCAATGTTTTGGTGTGTGGAATTGACGTAATTTATGCTTATTTTCCAATTGTTATCGGACTATATATCATGTTTGTTTTGAGGTATTGTTACTTTCATGGGACTTAACTTAGCCTCTACTGCTGTTAAGAGTGCATTAGAGGTTATAGAAGTTCCCGATATTGATTTCCATTCTTCAACTTTATCAGCTGGTATTAATATAAGGTCAGTTGATTTTCATGGGTGGTACATTTTGTTCGTCATTGTTTAGACTCAATAGTTTATTTTTCTATGATATAAATGTTGGGGACGGTTTTTGTTATGGATTAATGCATTATCTTTACACTTGCCCTCTAATTGTGCTGTTAAGATACTGAGGAATTGGTTTTCATATCTCCTTTTGGAGATAATAGTTATATGTTTTCTTTCTGAACTTTGTTTCTCAGTTACACCTTAGAGGCATTCTAAAAGCAGATTTCTTACTTTAGATTGTGTACCATCAATCATATAAGCATGTTTTCAACTTCTATTGTATATTTGAAATTCAGCTATCCTTTCTTTTTTTTTTTAGCTGTTGTTGAAGGGACTAAGTTGAACTCTCTTTAGCTGTGTCAAGAGTGTAATGGAGGGCATCCTAGTCCCAAAATTGATTTCCATTTTTTTATGCTTAATCAACTGCATCATTTACTTGCAGTTGATTTTGTTGGGTGGTACATTAATGATTTAATATATATGTACATGTAAATGTTTTTATTGCTTGCGCCTGTGGGAGGGAAATTAACCTTTGTACTGTCGAGAGTTTATCATATTTTTTTTGCATGAAACGCCTTTAGGAGAGAGCTCCAACTGTTCTGTCTTGAAAGGTCAAAATGAGTGCTGCAATTGAAATGCAGTCAGAATTTGGATGGCCTTTTCTTTGTTCTTTTGTCTTTTCTTTTTATTAGTGGGGTGATGAGGGTTTATTTGTTTGTCTATCTATCTCATTGCATGTTACTGTTAAATGAAATTGATTGCTTATCTGTTGTGTTCTACATGCTAATTGATCTTTTCCACCAGGTGTTATGCTCGTCTGCATCCTAGGGCTGTTAACTGTAGGAAGAAGAAGTGTGGTCATAGCAATCAGGTTGTTTTGCTGTTAAATTTAACCTTTGTTTATTTTTTGCTCCATTATTTGTGTTTTATTTTTCAACTATGTTGCGTGGTCGTGGTATCTCTAATGTTATGAAACTCTCTGTTTCTCGTTCATGCAGTTGAGGCCCAAGAAGAAGATCAAGTAAATGATCAAGACTATGTTTGTGCTCGGGATGAATGTGTGGGAGAGATTTTGGAGGACTTATTTTTGTTTATTGTTTTGTGGAGTTTGGATTTTGTAAGACAACTTGTGATCAATCTACATAAATATTATTAAAGCTTTAGATGTCATTATTTTGTTTTTTACCATTTCTGCGTTCTGATTTTATTTTCCATGTAGATGATATTGTCAGGTGTGATTCCTTATGTTTGTTATGATTTGAGATTGTCGGAGTTTTTAGAACGCGGTTTGCATCGAAATCATTTTGCTTTAAAGAAGCAACATTTCTCTGTTATGATCATTTGGAAAAGGGTAAAAATCAAAAACCAATGTCAGTTTAAAAATTGGGTTAATTGTTCAGCGTCTCTATTGTTTTGGAAGCCCAGCAGCTAAATATTCGTGTTCTAAATGTTATTGTGATCTTCATCAATCACAACCCTTGAATCAGCCCCAAGCCTCATCTTCATCTGCTTCTATTTCTTCCTTTTCATCCCCAACCGTTGATGTTATTAAAGAATCCGGGCATACAAAGAAGCTAACATCTATAAGATGCAACCATATTGTTACGTTAATCAAGTATGGTGCGATGGCAGGGTAAAACTAATTCACAATAAAATGATCCGAAGCCTAAATGGCTTGCGTGAAGTTAATCAGGATTTACCATTTCACATTTCCATGGTAAGCAAAAGCTGGTATCATGTACTTCTCCTCCTCTTTCTAACTTCCAAGATCTGATAGGCAAATGTAGCATTAAAAAAAAAAAATCAATAATATTTAATTTAATAGAAACTGAATAATAATAGATTGATTGGGCCCAATTAGGATCGTCGGCCATGAGTTTATTCCAATCCAATGATTCCACTGTCTCCAACTTTGGAACAACACTACCATTCGGTGGTTCACTTCTTCATTGCTTCTCTGTCGAGTTTACTTTCGCTCCACTCTCCTCCGTCCCATTTTCCTCCACAACAGTCTCCACTCCACCAACAAAATTGACATTCCTCTGCCTCAATTCTCAATTTCCATACACACTCTGAATCTCCATCACTCCTTCACTCAGTATGCTACCAACCACGCTTCCTCCTCCTCTATTATAACTGAATCTGTTTTTCATCACTCGATGTTTCTGTTCTCTGTATGATGCGAATTGTCGATAATCGAATTGGAATCGATGATTAAATCTTCATGAATTGTAGAATCGAGTGGCTTATATTCCTTTAACAGCAACGGTTGGGGATGAAAAGGGAGGAACAGAAGCAAAAGGAATAAAAAATAAATAGTTATTTGGAGATTTTTTATTTTAGAAATTTATTTATTATTTTTTAAAATAAAATTACACACGTCAACATTATGTTTGTCTCTTTTTTTAAAATTGATGTTGTTACCTACCTAAAAATTTATGTCTGTCTTCGAAAATTAATATCGTTACCTACTTGAAAATTTAAATATAGGATGAAATTAAGACGCAAAGTTAAAGGATGAAAAATTTAGTAAAATGAAACTATTAACAAACAAAATAGAAGTATTTTATGAAGCATTAACCTTTTAGAAATTGAAAAAATAAGAAGCAAACGCAGATGTGGAAAATTTTAAATTTCAAGCCAAACTGGTTTTGGTTTGTCTTTCCAAACGCAATGGTGCTGGTCTTTTTCCAATTCAAACTGGATGATTGATTGGGATATTGTGGTCTTATGGACGGTGTGTATGTCCAAATACCCTTGCGCAAACGCAAGGCATTTGAATCACTCCGAAAACCAAAACTAAGCTGCAATTATGAAGAACAGGTATGTGTGGTTGGAGGAAATAAATTAGGAGCACAATGAAATTCCTTATTCTATACTTAGCAACCGAGTATAAGAGATGGGTTTTCCTACGGTCAGAATAAGAAATTAATATTCTTCTTTTTATCTGCAAGAAAATCTAATTGAAACTATGTAAATAGAGAGTTATGTAGCCAGCAACAACGTAGAAGAGATTCATCGAATCATTCGTGAGCTTGAACATAGCCAAATTGATGGGATTTGGCGAGCAAGTCTTTTATATAGTACCTTATTAAGGTTTGGGGAGCTAACAACCCCATCATTCCAATTTATCAAAAAAACTGACAGAAATTCCAGTCCCATCCCAGAAGAATAGAGACATAAGAGGAAGAAATGAGTAAAAGAAGAAGAAATGAGTAATGGACAGTTTCTCCATTACTTATTTCTTCTTCTTTTACTCATTTCTTCATATCATGTCTCTTTCTTCTGGGATGGGACTGGAATTTCATTCAGTTTATATATATTTGAAAATTAAATATTTCTATTTTAAATTAAATATGGATTTTGAAAAAGAATTTGAGAAAACTAGGAAATATAGTATTATTCATTATAATATAAGATATTTTATTTAAATTAAATATTTTCCGATATTTTGATTTTCTCTATTAAAGATTTGCTATCCAACTCCTAAATTCTCTTGGAGCTCCAGCATCGCGAAGTTCCAATAAACGGGTGGGGCGACAACAATTCCTATAGAGGCCAATAGTAACCGGATCCTCTCCGTTTCATAAACGGTAAAAACTCGACAAATGAGATTCGTTGGAGGAGTTGACCAAACGACGATGCTCCACACTTTTGTACTCGCCGTTTGAGAGTACGTGTAAGCTAGGAAGTAGTAGTAAAAAAAAAAAAAAAAATGAAGAATTATGAAAACGATTTTGTCAATAATACGTCCGTACTTTTGAAGATGGACAAGAATTAAATGGACAAATTTCCTAAAATAATGACTAGTTGTTCTTAGCTCAAGTTCATCTCCTTATTTGTTTATTATTATTATTCACTGATGTACACAACAAAACGACGTACGGATGGATTCTCCCTCCTCAACTCTTTACAGGGACGTTCATCACAGGAACGTTCATGCTCCAAGCATTAAGATTCTCCACAGTGACGGTCTCGCTTCCATTGTTGAACACAAACAAGTGAGCCTTGTCAAAGACTGCAATAGTTGGATAAACCCTGGATGTGATCACAGTTCTTCCTCCAGCGCCAAAACTTTCCACAACAGAGTTATCAATCTGCAAAGAAAGAGTCATAGAGGAAAGTGTGTTAGGTTAGTTAAAAAATTGGCAATAAAAAGAGACCAAGTATAAGTTTAGACCAAGATACTGAAAGGGACATACCAAACTCCTGAGCGAAAGTTTCTTCTCAGTTAAATCAACATCAACAAATCCAGCAAAAGGTGGTTTGTATAGCCCCTCTCCCAAGGAAGAGCTGTTCAAAGAAGCAAAGTATAAAGACTATGTTACACAGGTTCAAAGCAAGAATTGGGATGAAAACAGATGCCTAAGCTATAAAACAAACCTCCTTGCATCAGAGCACAAGAGAACTTTGTGCTTGTCTGCTGCTTTAAATACTCTAAAGAAGACAGGAGTGAATTCTTCAAGCTTTTCAGAAGCTAATGTCAAGAGTCCAAATGGCCCAAGTCCACCCTGAGCTCTGGAACCCTTCTGGGCACAGACATCAAGTGCATCAAGCTTAGCCCATTTAGGATCAAAAGGCTCAGCTTTGTCCAAGCTCCGGAAAGAAAAGGTAACATCAACATCAGCCTGTAAAATATACGTAGCAATTAATCAGCAAAAACACTGACTCGATATTCTTTCTAAGTGATTGTTTCTTGGAGTTTAATGTTCAATATAAAAAAAAGGAAATAAAACAAACCTGAGCAGCAGTGATGCCTTTAACCTCAACACGCTCTCCTTGATTGAGCTTTTGATTGCTCAGTTGAACAGAGTGACCTCTTAGTTTCTCCAGTTCTGCAATAGGCCACTGTAACAATTGCTTTCCACTAGGATCTAACCACAAACTCCTCGGAATCAACTAAAAGAAAGCAATTAAAACAAAATAAAATGTTATTAACCAACAAAAATGATTTTAAAAAAGTGAATGATAATCACCAAGAAATCAGGATTCCACCAAGTATTAGTACCTGAATTCCTGCCCATCCTTTGTCCATATCTTGCTGAACAGAATCAGACTCATTAGCCCAGCCCCACAAAATCCTCCTATTCGTGCTTGGGTCAAAAAAGGTCTTGGAAGCATAAAAATTTCCATAATCATATCTAAGCCCGGCCCAACCATCAACTAAGGCTTTGTCAGGGTAATACCTATCCTTCTTTGTATCATAAGTACCAATCGTATAGTATTCGTATCTTGTCATGTCTAAGCTAACCTTCAATACATGCTTCACATTCTGTCCACCAACTGAAGTATCCAAACCGTTTCCATTGGATAATGAAACCGGGAAAAAGTCCGGGCATTCCCACATGCCCGTACCCTGAACCGAATGTAACGGGTGTTTGGCCTTAACCCATTTCTTAAAGTCCCTACTCCTATACAAATATGCCACCCCTCTATGTTTCCTCCTACTACCAATCAAAATCTTCCAATGCCCCTCGGCCCACCAAGCAGTGGTCGGATCACGGAACGCGCTAGCGTTCACGCTAGCATCCGGGTTCACTATCGGATTATCATCGGGCTTAACCCATTCCCGAAGATATGGATCCGACAAGTTTGCGGGTACTGCATAGTTTTGAATCTGACGGTTATGTTCGTCAACGATACCCGTGTAGAATATAACGGGCTTACCGTTTGGCAGGACGGTTGCCGATCCAGACCAACATCCGTAATTATCAAACCATTTGGAAGGGTAGATTGCAGGCTCAAGGGATTCCCAATTGATCAAATCCCTTGAAACTGAATGAGCCCAGACAATGTTGCCCCACACTGCACCTTTGGGGTTGTATTGGTAGAATAGATGGTATAGCCCCTTGTAGTACATAGGTCCTGCTCACACGTATTAGCATCCATAACAACAAGCAATATTAGGAACGATTAGAAAACTGGAGGCTAAAAAACTTTGAAGATTCTTGTTGAATTGGCTTACCATTTGGATCTATTGTTGATTATTTTCGTTCAAAATCAATTTGAGCCGCACCCACAGGTATCATGGAGCAACAAAGAAAACAAAAGTTAGCCATCATTGTTGAAGTCAATTTCCACTTAAAAATTGAAAAATGCGTAACACATGACACCAGCAGCTGAACTGAGCTGGCGAGGAAAGTTCCCAGCAAGTAAATGGTTACAACCACCATTTTTTTTCCAAGTCAAACAATAACATTAAAACCTTATGCTATGCCATTGAAAATTTAATAATGCACAGGCCATAATCTGTCATTAGCAACGATTAATCTCACCAGGTCCCCTATCTTTCTTCAAAATAATAATTTAGGCCCAACTCATTACGCTTGGTTTATTATTGTATTTCCAGTTACCCCTTTCTGGGGTTAAGTAAGTTTTGGATCTCACCTTCATAAGAAGGGAACACCATAAATTCTAGTAATAAATAGAGATGAAAACTAACTTTTTTGAACCGTCCATGAGAAGGTAGAATCTTGCCTACACTCCTCGAAGAGAAAAACCAACATGATAAAATAAAAGTTCTTACGACCTTTTTCTAGTGCATATTCCAGCACTAGTGCTATCCAAAAGTAACCAATAAAATTCCTCAACGTGGGCCACTACCCAGTACTTCAACTTGGAAAAAAAAAGGTGGTCCTTGTCAGGATGAGCACCTCGCATTGCCATTATTTGTACGGCTGTAGGATGCTTACTGGTCAACAAAGACTTATGCTAAGTAAAGACGTGCGTGAAACAGCCTTTTCGGTGCACGTTCTTAGAGTTTGAAAGGTAAATTCACTGTGTTTAATTTCAAAGGTCAAATGCTGTTCCTGGTCCATATTAGACCTCACCAACCACATATTGTCCCGGACGAATTTAGGATCCTTTTTTTAAAACTCAAAACCCCCTAATTATGGCCCCGATTCTGATTCATTAAGTTGCTATAAGAGATTGTTCAATGCAATTATAAGAAACGAACCTAAGAATTTTAGGCATACAATACAACTTCAAAACCATATTAAGATCCAAAAGTAAAAGACCATGGTAACAGAGGCTCAGATTAGTAAATACCACCTCAGCCGCCCAGCTATAATCAATACTCAAGAAACTAATAATAACATAACATGTATATGTATAAAACAGTTGACGACAGGAGAAGTGAAATAAAGATACTGAATTTTATTCATTTTGTCTCTATAAATGGTGCCAGCCAGATATTTTTGAAATCCGAAAAGAACTGCCAATATACGCAGGCAATAATCATAATTACAAAGAAACAAAAAAAGGCATGATCATAATCAGAAACTGGTTCTTCCTAGTTCCTACTCGACCACTTTCATGTCTGTGCGCTTGTGTCTTATTCTTTCTCACTGCAATACCTACCTCATACGTGAACAAAAATATCCACAATCCGATTATTATTTTGCCCAACTAGCACTAACTTCATCTTTAAAGTTCAATTTCCAACCATTCATTTCTGTGAGGTAATGCAACATCCAAGGTTTTCATCTCATTCACCAAAAAGAAAAGACCAAAATATATATATATATATATATACATCTAATAGTTTTGTGCCCTACCGCTGGCATTAATGAAATGCATGTGCAACGATGTTGAAAATTTATATCTTCACAAACATGAAACTTATAATTCGTGATAAAGAAAATAAGATAGTAATAATTAAATTTGAAATCTTGACTAACAATTAGAGTAATATATCTCCCGATGAGTGCATGCATGTGGAAACTCTGGAAGTATGACTTTGGGAAAAAAAAACCAAAGTATGACTTTGACCAAAACAACCAAAATAGTGACAAGGAAGATAAGATAATAAAAACAATACATACAAGTTTATATGCACCATAAGGATTTTAATTTTTTTCTCGGTGCAAATTAAGAGAAATTAAATAAAGCAGAAAATACAATCTTCTACGGCGATGAACTAAAAAAAGAAACAGCATTAAATTAATGTTGAGTAGAAAAAAAAATAACATGCAAAAACTTTGAACATGGTCAAAATTTGAAATTCAGATAATATATTTTTTAAAGATTTTTTTTTCTATTAATATTTGGATAGGGTCCAAAAGGTAGAGCTTATTTTTAAAAGAAACCCTTTGAAATTAAGAGAATAAGATAATACTAACAATCGAGGAAACAAAAAGAAAATCATTAATTAGGAGTACGATGTTTCTACGAAGAACTTGACTCGATGGAGATGGAGCATCAGCCTTAAAAATCTAAGACAAGCTAAACAAAAAGGAAATAACACAAGAAGCAAAAACAAATAATTAAAAAGGCAAAGCATATTAATTTTTTTGTTTTAAAGTATCACAGATACTATTTGCATTGTACAGGAAAAAGAAAAGGCAAATTAAAGAAAAGAAAAGGAGAATATGCATGGTTATGTACCGTTGATCCAGTTCTTAGAAGGCTGAAAGTGATAACCGGTTCTATGGATTTGCTTCACGTTGTCAACACTAAGACTCTGATAGCGAAGATAAACATTATGGGAAGCCTCGACTCCATTGTTGCTAAGCACAAAAAGCAAAGCAAAGAATGAAAAAACTGAGAGAAACTTTGTTCGAGCCATCGTTAATTATTTATCATCGCCAAGAAAGGCAAAGGAGAAAACCGGGTATCACAAAGAGAGAGATAGAGAGAGAAAGAGAGAGAGAGGTTCAAGAGAAGGAAGAGAGATTTTTAATTCTAATGACTAATGAAAGAGCTAAGAATGAGATATTTCGTGCATGAAGAGTGGATATATATAATGAAAAATCTTAGCTGTCGTTAGAGAATGACAAGGAAAGGATTTAATCTTAGGATGAACTTTCCTGTTTAATCGCTGAGTAACCGGTTGGTTAGTTTTGTTTTGATCAGAGGTTTATTAGTTGTACTCTACTAATTAATTACATACCCATACGCGATAATAATGAAAAACCTCAATTTAACTCTTTGTATCAATTAAGTCTCAATTTTTTTTTTAATTTATCAATTTATTTCAAAAGTCATCAACATTTTACAATATTACTCCTCCATCCACCCAAACGATGTTTGACGGTTAAAATTCTGTCTAATTTTGTATATGATATTTAAATGGTTGCATCTAATATGCAAAAATAAACCCAAATTTGTGTAAAGGAAAATTTTGAACTTCTCTTTTTCTACAAGCCAGTGAAGCAAATTATTATTATTATTATTTTTTAATGATTTGACACTAAATTTATCTTTCTAGACATAATAAAACTTTTATTAGATAAAAGTATCTAATAAGTATCTGTAAATTGGAAAAAAATCTTTTAAATGTCGTCATTACCAACGAATGAAAAGGAGGATAACATTGTTATATTTGAGGTAAATTTGATAGGTTCAAAAGATTTGAAACTTAGGTAATAATAAGATAACATTTTAGAGGCTAAATTAGGTTTTTTCAAAGGAAATTATACGGATAATTTAAACATAGTTTCTTACGAGGAAGCTTTTGTACATGGATTTCTTTAAAACTAAACCTAAGTGAGTCATAAAACTAATTACCAATCATGCATCACTACAAATTCCTTGTCACGATTTAATTTCTGAAAAATCAATGCCATTAAAATGTTTCTTTTAAACCATCATGCTAATATGACTTCTTTTATTCTGGTGTGTGCATTTAATTGGTTAGGTAGGACTAGTGTAGAATCTTTTTTCACATGATCAAATATATATGGTTGTCGATCTTGTAGAGAAAAACTAGATTCGTTTTTTCAAAAAATACTGATCCACAAATTAATTCACAATTCCATACACCCATTTAAGGATCGATAATGTATTTCTTTTATGATAAATTGTTCTTAAGATATATTATTTCGTTACTAAGTATTGAAAAAAAAACATATGTTTGAATCAAAATCACAAACCACACCTCACAATTATTTTCTCCTTTTGTGTTGTTAAAATCTAAATCAATTAATTACTATAGAAATAAATAAACACAACCAAAATCAATATAAGAATTTTTACGTGAAAATTCGACATAGGAGAAACTATAAGATCATAATCCATTCAAATTCTTTCACTGTATTAAACAATGAGATACACGATTCATTTCGAAACTCAACTAAAATATATACTATCAAAGCCATCACTATAAAGATGGATTCTAATAATAACAACAAAGAAAAAGATATCAATCTTACCAAATAGCTTTTTAAGAAATATCCAAAAAAATTTCCATTTTTGTTTTTTTCCCCCTTGTTTTGTATACTTTTATTTTATTTTATTTTGTATACATGGGTTTTGGGTCCCACAAAAGGAGGGATCCAACTCAACAACTCTCTTCCTTCTAACTCATTTAGAGGGTTCCACCAAATTCGTTTGTCTTCTCGAAAACTCAAGGTTCTCTCTCTATAAAGATTTGGTCATCATGTCTAATTCATTTTTATTAGTATGAACTTCTCGATAACAAAAGACTTCATTTGTAACACCCGAAACTTCAATATTTCTTATGCATTTATGTATGTGTTTATCTTGTTAAGTATGTGTATGCTATGCTTTGTGTTTACATTAAACATTATTATACATTTATGTGTTTATTTGTTGAGTATGTCCATGATATGCTTTGTGTTTACATTGATAAATGTTTGGATTTGCAAATTTATGTTGTTAAGTATTATGAGTATGTGAGTGACTAAGTGACCCAAGTGTGACACCTAAAAGATGGGAGGCTTACGTGAGTTAAGTAACAAAGTAAGATGACTAGTTTATCAAGTTAATTAAATTTAAAGGACATGGAAATATAAATTGATTAAATGTCTCATACATGTGTTAACATAAAAATAATATCGATAAATCTAGAACCATCCATTGCTTTAGTGTTCCATACAAGCGTCTACATAAAAAAATACATCTAAGCTTAAGTGTCCATACATGTGTACACCTTAACCTTCCTTGGAATGATCTAGATTCCGACCAAGAGATTCTTTTAGAGTCGACCAAGGGGAAAAGTTGTTAACTTCTATGGATTCTTTTAGAGTCGACCAAGAGGGAAAATAAAAATAAAAGTTATAAGTTATTTGTAGTATTTTAACCTTGATAAATATAAAAACAATAAGAGAAAAAAAACAAGATCGAGAGGAAAACTAAATTTGCCAAGGAAAGCAAACTTTCACCGGAGAGAGAGAGAGGTTGGTTAAGAGAGAGATTGGTAGAGATAAAGAGAAAGAGAGAGCTTGGTTGAAAAGGAAGAAAATGAGAAAAGTGAGATCTTTGAGACCATTACGATGCTTTCAACACAAGCTAAACCCTAAGATAAGTGTAGTCTCAACTCATCATAAGACCTAGATCTCATAGGGTTGTTATGTTATATATTTACTTGATGATTGAATAGCTATGATAATATACTTACTTAATGTTGCATTTTAAGTGATGATATGTTTACTTAATGCTTAGGTGTTATATGATTATTGTGTGTTTATGTGTTTGTTTACCGATTGATCAAGCGTTCGTTGTTTGATAGTTTTGGTGTATTGTTGATTGAATACTTGAGATGATGTGTTTAAGTGATCATGTCTTTACTTGATGGTTATTAAGTGTAATTCAACTTATCACAGGATATAGATGGTATATGATTGTTGTATTTATAAGTTTATTTGATGAATATGTTCATGTGAAGTTACACGATGGTTTCGAGATTAGGTGATTACTTAACATTACTTGGTTGTCTTCATGTGTTTATTGTTTGATTGAATACTTATGAAGTTCCATGATGGTTTTGGGTTTCATGTTTATTTGAAGTTACTTGGTTATATATTCATGTGTTTAGTTGAGGTTTGCATTTATATTATATCCATGCCATGAAAATGTTTTTATCATGATTTCATGCATTTAAAGAAAAGGACACGTTCATATTTTCAAAGAGGACTTGCGACTAGACATGTTCAAAGAGGGCTCACAATGATCTTTATAAAGGATGTTAGTAGAAGAATTAGTAATGACCTTACAAACATGTCGATCAACTTTTCTTAAGGTATCAACTCTTTATGAGGTTCATGGGTTTACAAAGGGAACGATCAACTTTTCGTGAAGTATCACTCTTTATGAGGTTCATGGATGGAATATGTCTAGTGCTTTTCATGGTTTTTCATAACGGACGGTTTTAAATGAAGGTTGAATCTATATATTCGGTAGGGTGTGCTCGAAAGATGAAAAATGAATTTCAGTATTATGAAAAATATATTTTCTTGCATTCATGCATGATTGCACTTACCGAGTATTAGATCACGGTTGTCTTGTAGTGTGTAGGTAAGCTAAATGATGCATGAAGACATGTTGTGATGTTGAGGATACTATCGTGAGCAAGATGAGTTTGCCAAAGTGTTTAAAGTTTAAAAGCTAAAACATTATTTACGTTCCTTAAGTTTGGCCACCTTATGTTTGTAAACTTATGTTCCTTTTGAGTATTTTTAGTATGGTAATCTATATACATGTTTTAAGATAATGAAATGGTTTTCATTTATAAAACTTGAATTGGTTTTTAATGTATATAAGCCGAGGTTTGTCTTGAACCTTAAACCTAAATGCTTTTGTTGTACATTACACTAGATAAAGGACATAGGGCTTTATCTTAAATCCTACAAGTGTGAGGCATTGTTGTAGCTCTCTTAGCCTTCCTTTAGGTCGAGGGTGTTATAGACTTCGTATTAGAGTGACATGATTTTGTAGACCTAAATAGTATGCGTAAACTCAAGCTCTAGCAATATTGTAAATATGTAAGTGTTTAAATTTATTAAATATAAATTATATGAATATGCTTATACTTGTTGAATTATATGGATATGTTTGGGTAAGTTAAATTTCAAGGATGTAATTTTTATGAAGAGGGAAAGATGTAACACTCGAGAGTTCAAACCTTCCTATGCATTTGTGTGTGTCTTGTTAAATATATATATATGTTATGTTTTTTTGTTTACATTAAAATTCCTATGCATTTACGTGTTTATGTGTTAAGTATGTGACATGTTTTGTTTTTACATTAGTGAATGTTTAGCTTTGCAAATTCATGTTGTTAAGTATCGTGAGTGTGTGAGTGACTAAGAAACCCAAGTGTGACACCTAAAAGATTGAATGCTTAAGTGAGTTAAGTGACAAAATAAGGTGACTAATTTGGAAAGTTAATCAAACTTGAAGGATGTAGAAATATAACTTGATTAAGTGTTTCATACATGTGTTAACATAAAAATAAAACTTAATTAATATAACATTCAAGTGTTAATCTAGGTTAATTTAAAAACATTTCTTGATTTGATGTGCCATACGAGTGTCTACCTAAAGAAAATATCTAAGCTTAAGTTTCCATACATGTGTACACTTTAACTCCGTCCCGAAATGATCTAGATTTCAGCCAAGAGAGGAAGAAAAGGAGGAAGAGTTGCTAGCTTCTATGGATTCTTTTAGAGTAAGCCAATAGAGAAAATAAAAGGGGAAGTGCTAGGTTATTTATAGTATTGTAACCTTGATAAACATAAAAACAACAAGAGAGAAAAGCTAAATTTTCCAAGGAAAGCAAACCTTGGCCAAGAGAGAGAGACGAGAGAAAATGAGAGTTTGGTCCAA